ACATGTAGTTGCTCCACCCGACTTGAGAGGGACTCGCACATCCTTGATCATGTTGGTCGCGATCATCTTGCGAAGTACATCGACTGGAGCATGACCCATTCTCGCATGTAGATCGGCACAACTGGTTCCACTTGTTGTCACATTCGCTGATCGTTGAGTCGTCCGAAGCCAGTAGAGTCCATCCACGAGATCCGCTGTCGCCACCACTTGCTGTGAGTTCTTGAGAGTCACATACATCTTGGACCCGTCAAACACGACTTGAAACTTGCCATGGCTGTTAATCTGGCCTGTTGAAAAGACAGCGGCTGTGAAGAAGACACCTCGTCAAGCTGCGTCAAGTGTTGAAGCAAGTGGAAGACCAAGCTTCGCTATACCGGTGGGTACCGGTATGTACCAGTAAGGGCGAAGTCAGGAAATGACGTCACTGGATGACGTCATTGCATGACGTCAGTGGGTGACGTCAGTGGGTGACGTCACTGGATGACGTCACTGCGAATAATAGGCTTAGAGGTAGTATTCAAAGTTGCGAACTAAGTACCTATTATAAATATATATTCACTTTGCGTTTTGCACTCGGACCAAGAAGTCTAAAGTTCATCAGGTTATGAGCCCAAGTTCGTCAGACTCTGAAACCGCCAACAATTCAAGCTTAGCTGCCGTGGACGCCTCCTCCCTCCGCATCTCCAAGTTCGATGGAACTAACTTCCACGCCTGGAAGTTCAAGATGCAGATGGTGCTGGAGGAACGGGACCTATGGGAGGTCGTCAGCGGTGAGATCAAGGCGGAACAGTGCGAGACTCAGTTGGACCAAGCGACGTACAAGAGGAAGTCAAGAAAGGCGATGGCAGTGATCTGTCTAGCCATGGAAGATTCCCAGCTACCGTTGGTCCGGTCGGCAAGTGGTGCATGCGACGCATGGTCAAGGTTGGAAGACCACTTCGAGAAGAAGAGTCTTGCCAACAAGCTGTTCTTGCGCCGTCGCTTCTTCACGACAATGATGGAAGAAGGCGACGATGTGCTCGAACACATCAACAAGCTCAAGACGCTGGCGGAACAGCTAGAAGCGGTGGGGGCTCCAGTCTGCGAGGACGATCTGGTGATCACACTCCTCGGCAGCCTGAGTGACTCGTATCAATTCTTGATCACAGCTTTGGAGTCGCGCTCAGACACTCTTAGCTGGGAGCTCGTGACGTCTCGACTGCTTCATGAAGAAATGAAGCGGAAGGAGCAAGGAAGTAAAGGTGATGAAGCTTCGCAAGGTCAAGCGTTCATCACAAGGGACAACCAGCGCAAAGGGCGACCAGTGAAGAAGTCCTGGCCGTGCCACAATTGCGGAAAGATTGGTCACTGGATGGCGGAGTGCCCCTCGCGCATCCAAGAAAACACGGAGAGACACCGGCCACAGCGTGCTCAAGACAGCGGCGACCGCTATCGATCACAACGTGCAAACGTCGCTCAAGAAGAAGACTCGGGCGACTACCTCTTTTCGATCGGTGAAACGACATCTGCGAAATCGAGCGACATCTGGCTGGTCGACTCCGGGGCGACGCAGCACATGACGTGCTCCAAGAAGTTCATGCGGAACTACAAGGGGTTTGACGCTGTGGATGTCCATCTCGCGGATGATGGAATCGTCCAAGCAATCGGCAGTGGGGACATTGTCATGTCGATGAAGACACCCCAAGGGATGAAGAAAGGTGTGCTCACAAACGTGTGGCACATCCCAAAGTTATCCAGAAACCTGTTCTCGGTCGGCCGCTTCACCAAGGATGTCGGCCCAGTGACGTTCACGAAGGATGGGTGCTATGGAAAAGCGAAAGGGACCAAGTGGAAAATTGGTGCCCGTGAAGGTAAAGGACTGTTCAAGCTGCAAATGACTCCAGTGGCGCCGGAACAAGCAAATGCAGCCAAGTCGTCGGGATGTCAAGGGGGCACCAAGTCGTACCTCTGGCACCTTCGGCTTGGCCACATAGGTCACGATGGACTCAATTGCATCGTGACGAAGAACATTGGAATTGGCATCGACATATCTTCGGTGAAGAAGTGGGACGTGTGTGAAGGTTGTGCTCTGGGAAAACAGACTCGAGTGCGCTTCCAATCAAACACTACAGCTCGCACCTCCAAACTCCTCGAAGTGATTCACAGCGACGTATGCGGACCGATGTCGATGGCAACTTTCAGTGGAAAACGGTACTTCGTGACATTCATTGATGACAAGTCAAGATACTGTGTCGTCTATCTGCTCAAGAGCAAATCTGAAGTTGCGGCGAAGTTCATGGAATACGCTGCGATGGCCGAAGCGCAAACCGGGAAGCGCGTGAAGTACCTTCAAAGCGACAATGGGGGTGAATACAAGTCCGACAAGCTGGCACGATTCTGCGCGGAACGGGGAATACAACAAAGGTTCACACCCCCATATACTCCTCAGCTAAACGGAGTGGCTGAGAGAATGAATCGCACGCTGGTCGAGTGTGCGCGTTGCATGATGGAACACGCTGGACTGGGAAAGAGCTACTGGGGTGAAGCAGTGATGACGGCGATGTTTCTTCGAAACCGCTGTCCAACACGTGCCATTCACCAAGACAAGTCTCCATATCAAGTGTGGACGATGAAGAAACCGATTCTGGCCAACCTTAAAGTGTTTGGATGCCACGCGTATGTTCAAGTGCCTCAAGACAAACGCGCGAAGTTCGACTCCAAGTCATCACTCTGTCGTTTCCTGGGATACGCCGAACACCAGAAGTCATATCAATTTGAGGAAGTGTCAACAGGAGCGATCAAGATCAGTCGCGATGCCACATTCAAGGAAGACAAGTTTGATGAAGGTTCGCGCAACTACAACGATGATTCAAGTGCCGTTGAGTTTGATGATCAAGACGAGGACGAAGAAAAAGAAGAAGGTAAAACTGACGACGACATGGACTCGAGCGACGATGACAACGAAGACACCAGGTCTTCAAAGAGCAACATCAAGAGACACACGCGCACTCAATCACTTGAGAAAGCTACCGTCATTCCAAGTCCCAAGCGAAGAACGTACAGAGTTCCGTCGCTTGAGCATGTGTCAGCGGCTGCAATGGATTTTGAAGCAGCCTACATCGTTGATTCAGTGGGGGAAACGCCGACTACATTCAAGTCGGCGATGGAATCAAGCGACTCCGGCAAGTGGAAAGAAGCGTGTGACTCGGAGTTCGACTCGCTTCAGAGAAACGACACGTGGGAAATCGTGCCTCTTCCGAAAGGTCGCAAGGCCATCGGGTGCCGATGGGTTTTTCGTGTAAAGGAGAATCAAGATGGCGAAGTTGAACGTTTCAAGGCAAGACTTGTGGCCAAAGGATTCTCACAGAAATTCGGAGTTGACTATGAAGAAACTTTCGCACCGGTGGCCAAGTTCACATCGATTCGTGTGGTGCTCAGTATGGCGGCTAAGTACGGCCTAATGCTACATCAGATGGACGTCAAGACAGCGTTTCTTAACGGCTCCCTCAACGAAGACATCTACATGGACCAGCCGGACGGATACCTGGATGCAACACAGCCGGACTATGTGTGCAAGCTAAAGAGATCACTCTACGGCTTGAAGCAATCGCCTCGCATGTGGAACCAAACAATCGATGGGTTCATGATCAAGATGGGATTCAAGAAGTGCGAATCGGACCACTGCATCTACATCAAGCGAGACGACCAAGACATGATTCTCGTGGTGCTCTACGTCGATGATCTCATCCTGGCCAGCAGCAACAACGAACTCCTCAAGTCAACCAAGATGGCGCTGAGCAAACGCTTCGAAATGACGGATCTCGGTGAGCTCGATTACTTTCTCGGCATGGAGATCAAGAACGACCGTAAGACGGGAATGGTGACTGTACAACAAACCAAGTTTCTCAAGTCCGTGTTAACCAAGTTCGGAATGGATAACAGCAAGCCAGTGAAGACGCCTCAAGATCCCGGCCTGAAGCTAACCAAGAACATGTGTGAACAAGAATGCAAGCACGAAGACACCATGTGCAACGTGCCATATCGAAGTGCTGTCGGAGGCATCATGTATCTCATGGTCGCCACACGTCCGGATCTAGCTGCTGCAGTGGGATCATTATCCCAGTTCTCGTCCGACCCATGCCCGACTCACTGGCAAGCTTTGAAGCGTGTGCTGAGATACCTGCAAGCAACGCCCAATCATGGTCTTGAGTTTACACGTGAAGAAGGAAGCCGTATCTGCGGGTACACCGACGCAGACTGGGCCGGCGACATTGAGTCAAGACGAAGTACAAGCGGCTATGTGTTCATGATGAGCGGAGGATGCATCAGCTGGAAAAGCCAGAAACAACGGACGGTCGCGCTATCTTCAACAGAAGCAGAATACATGGCGCTTTCCGAAGCAACCAAAGAAGCAGTATGGCTCAAAGTGCTTTTGGGGGAACTTGGTGAGATGACAAGCGACGAAGCGATCAAGATGTATGAAGACAACCAAGGATCAATCGCTCTCGCCAAGAACCCGGAGTTCCATAAGAGAACAAAACACATCGACATACGCTACCATTTTGTGCGTGAGAAGGTGGAATCAGGTGAAGTCGTTTTGGAGTATTGCCCGACTCAAGATATGCTGGCAGACATGATGACCAAGCCGATCGCCGCTGTACAATTTGAAAACATTCGCGATCGACTTGGGATCCAAGGTGCCGCAGCTAACGAGTCGAGAGGGAGTGTTGAAAAGACAGCGGCTGTGAAGAAGACACCTCGTCAAGCTGCGTCAAGTGTTGAAGCAAGTGGAAGACCAAGCTTCGCTATACCGGTGGGTACCGGTATGTACCAGTAAGGGCGAAGTCAGGAAATGACGTCACTGGATGACGTCATTGCATGACGTCAGTGGGTGACGTCACTGGATGACGTCACTGCGAATAATAGGCTTAGAGGTAGTATTCAAAGTTGCGAACTAAGTACCTATTATAAATATATATTCACTTTGCGTTTTGCACTCGGACCAAGAAGTCTAAAGTTCATCAAATCTGTGGCACCGAGAGCAGGTTCTTGCTCATACTTGGAACATATAGCGCGTTCTTGATTTCGATCTCACGCTCTTCACCGTTGGGCAGAACCACCTTTTCCATGATGGTTCCCACACCCTTGATGGCCACCTTGTTGCCATCAGCCACCAAGAGTTCGCCCTCATTGCGCTCTGCCAAACTTGCGAACTTGGTCTTGTCGTGGCAAATGTGGTGCGTTGCACCACTGTCGACGGCCCACATTCCAGACACGTCCTTGCTCGTCGAAACTCCACATTCGAACGAGACTGCAAACGCCACTCGATCGTAGCCATTGCCTTCATCATGATGTCCCCACTGGACATTGTTAGCCCCGCGTCCACGACCATTGCCGCCGCGTCGGGCTCCCCGACCTTCGTTCTTCTGCTTTGTCCAGCAACGATCCACCGTGTGTCCCACCTTGCCACAATACGTGCATTGGTAGGGCTCACGCTCGGCGCTGAATGCCTTGCTTGCATCTTCAGCCTTCACCGTAGTCGCTGTCGTTGTCCCTTTTTCTCCTTGACGCTTGGCATGCTCATTCGTCAGGACTCTCACCACATCTTGAGTGCGAAGCTCGGTGCTGCTCATTTCCATGTTGAGCACCACATTTTCGTAGCTCTTCGGAAGACTGAGTAGCAGACAAATTGCAACGTCTTCGTCTTCCATCTTCGCACCGATGCCGCTAAGCTTGGCGGAGATGTTGAGGACCTCGTTGCAGTGATGCATGACGTTCGCGCCTTCAGCCATCTTGATACTGAAAAGTTGTCGCTTGAGGTAGATGCGTCCTGCCTTCTGCGACCCACCGTACAGCGTCTTCAGACTTGTCCACGCAACCCAGGCTTCCTCGCAGTTGTCCAGCACATGATGGTAGTCCGCGTTCATGTGCAGCAGCATCATACCAAACGCGACGTTGCTTGCCTTGACGTAGTCATCGGACGCTCGCGGGTCGGTGAAAGTCGGAGTCACTTCACGGTTGACAACGTGCCAGACGGACTTCGTCAAAAACACACCGCGCATGTACCGGCTCCACGTTGCGTAATTCTCTCCGTTGAACTTGTCAATGGAGGCGTTGCTGGTGGACGACATGGCGCTTGGGCTCATAACCTGTTGCATTGTAGATCGGAGCGAGGAAAGCGGAGCAAACGGAGCGGAGAGACCGAAGAGAGTAGAGCAGAAAACACTTGCCCAATAGTTGGAAGATTCGAAAGTGATTGATTATCGGGGCTTACTACTTACTACATGATTTATATGTGGTGTACATATAAATCATGTGAAGCGTCTCATCATCCTACGCGTCTAATCAACTATGGTAATTACCGTAAGAACTACGTCGTAAATACTAAGCTGAACAGGCGGTTCGGATTGGATCGGTCACGGTTACCAATACTGGTAGAAAACCGATGACCGTCAACATTCCACACTCGCGACGCTTGCTTGAGGCCGTAAATTGACTTCACCAATTCCAGGCAGTCGAACGTACTGTCAAGTTCGACGCCTTCAGGAATCACGCAGAACACTTGTTCCTTCATGACGCCATACAGGAAAGCTGTCACCACATCAAGCTGGTCGATGGGCCATCCAAAATGCTTGGAAATTGCGATCACCATTCGCAGCGTCACATACTTGACCACGGGCGAAAACGTCTCCGTGTAGTCGATTCCATACTTTTGGCGGAAACCCTTTGCCACGAGACGTGCCTTGTACTTCTCGATAGATCCATCCGCTTTACGCTTGATCTTGAACACCCATTTTGTGCCAATGGCGCGTTGTCCGTTGGGCAGCTTGGCTGCACGAAACACACCGCGAAGTCGCATTGACTCGAGCTCTGCATGAATTGCTTTTCTCCAGTGCACTTGGTCAGGGCCGCTTACTGCTGCTTCAAATGTTGAGGGTTCTGATAAGTCCACTGCTGCTTCAACGGCATTTGCACTCGCACGCCAAAACACAGGCGGTGTTGAATCACCAGAATCCTTCGTTTCTTCGTCTTCTTCTTGTCGTGACGAGTTGTTTTCCGGCGCGCTTGACTCTTCTAGTCCTGGTCGTTGACGCACTGCACGCGGTCGTGGAGCTGCTGTATCTTCATCATTGAGTCGGTTCTTGCGCTTGCCTGTTTGCTTGTACTCCATTTGACGCAGCTCTTCGTCATCAAGATCCAGCAATTCGAAGTCCAGGTCATCGACATCTTCATCAGTGATCGGCAGTTGAAGTCCAAAGGTGGACTCGTCGAAGTTGACATCGCGGCTGATAACCACCTGCCCCGCCTCGATGTCATAAACACGATATGCCTTCGAAACTTCTTCGTAGCCCACGAATATGCCAGCGCGAGCCTTTGGATCCCACTTGAGTCGATTCTCTTTAGGCGTCAGTATGTACGTCTGATATCCGAATGTTCGCATGTGCTTGACGCTTGGTTTCAAGTTGTAGACGATCTCAAACGGGGTCTTGTGCACGACTTTAGGTGACGGCAGTCGATTCTTGACGTAGATGGCCGTCATCGCTGCTTCGGCCCAGAAACACTTGTCCAGTTTGGCATGATGAAGCATGCTGCGGCCGATCGTGACAATAGTCCTAATGGCACGCTCTGCTGTTCCGTTTGTTTGATGTGCATACGGCACCGTTGTCTGCTGTTCAATGCCTTCGTCTTCGTAGAACAGCTGAAGCGAGTTGGTTGCAAACTCGCGAGCTCCGTCGTGTCGCACGAACTTGACCTTCTTACAGAATTGCGTCTGTACCATGGTGATATATTTCCGGATGTAGTCTTCACTCTCGGATTTCACTCGTAGACAAAATCCCTTCATGCATCCACTGGCTTCGTCGATGATCAGCAGCAAATATTTGCTGCCACCGAGCGAATCCTTTTCCATGGGCCCGCAGATGTCCAGATGAAGCAGCACAAACGTATCGTAGCTGCGCTTGTCTCGGTTGCTTGGAAATGGTTTTTGGACCATTTTCCCTTGTTGACATCCTCGACATGTAGTTGCTCCACCCGACTTGAGAGGGACTCGCACATCCTTGATCATGTTGGTCGCGATCATCTTGCGAAGTACATCGACTGGAGCATGACCCATTCTCGCATGTAGATCGGCACAACTGGTTCCACTTGTTGTCACATTCGCTGATCGTTGAGTCGTCCGAAGCCAGTAGAGTCCATCCACGAGATCCGCTGTCGCCACCACTTCCTGTGAGTTCTTGAGAGTCACATACTGTTGTAACTTGAGCGCGAGGCGAAGAGAAAACGAAGCGGAGAGACCGGAGAGAACGAAGCAGAGAACACTTGCTCACTTGAGGGAGGATTCGAAAGCGATTGATTTATAGGTCTTAACTTCTGCCTACCCTAGACTGCATCCAATCACATGGTGCATCTAATCAACCTGATTTATATTGATTGGTGAAAAGCTTGACGACCGAAACTGGGAGTGATGCTGGGAGTCTACTCGGAAGACCGGAGAAGACACTTGGGGGGTAGATGGAAGATTGGAAAGTGATTGATTATCGGGGCTTACTACTTACTACATGATTTATATGTGGTGCACATATAAATCATGTGAAGCGTCTCATCATCCTACGCGTCTAATCAACCATGGTAATTACCGTAAGAACTACGTCGTAAATACTAAGCTGAACAGGCGGTTCGGATTGGACCGGTCACGGTTACCAATACTGGTAGAAACCGATGACCGTCAACACGCCCCCTCAATCCGAACTCGCACGAATGCCGAGAGCCGTCGTCAAGTCCTTGTGACGAGGTCCCGAAAGTCCCTTGGTCATGATGTCCGCCATCATCACGGAAGTCTCGCAATACTCGAGCTGCACTTCCCCGCGCTTGACCTCATCACGGATGTGATGGTACTTGATGTCGATGTGCTTGGCGCGGCCATGATTCACCGGATTCTTCGTCATCTTGATGCACGACTGGTTGTCTTCACGGATGACGAGGTCCGGTCCTGGTTCGTTTGCGGCCGCCAAAATCTCGCATAGCAGGCGATGCACCCACTTGCCTTCCTGGATGGCCAGACTCAGTGCGATGTATTCCGCTTCACTCGTCGACAGCGACACACTTGACTGCTTCTTGCTTCCCCAACTCACAGGAGCACCCATCAGCATGAAAGTGTAACCCGAAGTCGACTTGCGATCAGCGTGGTCGCCGGCCCAGTCCGCGTCCGAGTAGCCACGAAAGTCGATCTTGTCGCTTGGCTGGAAGCGGAGTCCGTGCGACTTGGTCCCTTGCAAGTAACGAAAGATGCGCTTCACCGCCGTCCAATGTTCTTGCTGCGGATTCTCCATGAAGCGCGAGACGTACCCCACAGCATACGCAATGTCCGGGCGCGTCGCAGTCGTCAAGTGCATCAAAGCTCCCACAGCTTCACGAAACGGAACGTCGATCTTGGCCGCTTCGGTGCTTGCGACAAGCCGAGTGCTCAAGTCGACCGGACTTGCTGTGGCCTTGCACTCATCCATGCCGAAGCGCTTGAGGATGTCGTTGACATACCGTCGCTGGCACATTGTCACGCTGCCATCCGATTCGTCCACCAGTTCGATGCCCAGTACAAAAGTACACTTGCCACTGTCGGTCATCTCGAAACGCGTCTTGAGGTCGGCCTTCGTCTGCGCAATCAACTCGAGCGAGCTGCCGGTGACCAACACGTCATCCACGTAGACCAGCACGAGCACACAGTGACCGTCGACAACCTTGATGTAGAGACATGGGTCGAACGCCGACGCTTCGAAACCGATGGAGCATACGAACTCGTCGAAAGTCTCGTTCCACACACGTGAAGCTTGCTTGAGACCGTAGATCGCCTTCACCAACTCGAGACAGTCGAAGTCGCCATCCATCTCGACGCCTTCTGGTATCACGCAGTACACCTTCTCCTTCATCACTCCGTAGAGAAAGGCTGTCACCACATCGAGTTGGTCCAGTGGCCAGTCGAAATACTTGGTGATCGCGATCACCATACGCAGTGTCACGTACTTGACCACGGGCGAGAACGTCTCTGTGTAGTCGATGCCGTACTTCTGCTTGAAGCCCTTGGCAACGAGACGCGCCTTGTATTTCTCGACCGATCCATCCGCTTTGCGCTTGATCTTGAACACCCACTTGGTGCCGATCGCGCCTTGGCCTCTTGGCAGTTTTGCCGCACGGAAAACTCCACGAAGATGCATCGACTTGAGTTCCGCCTTCACAGCATTTCGCCAGTGAGTTTGATCAGGACCATTGATCGCGTCTTGAAAAGTCACAGGTTCTGCTAGGTCCGTTGCTTCCACTGCGTTTGCACTTGCACGCCAAAATGTTGGAGGCGTCGAGTCGTCATCTTGATCGTACACCCTTGCATCTTCTTCGTCATCAGACATCGTTTCTGGAGCACTTGATCGTCGTTTCTGGTGACGGTTGGAGACGTGTTCCGGCGCACTTGCTTGTTCCAACCCAGTTCGAGGGCGAGCTGACCGTGACATGCCGGGTCTTGCTTCACTCTTGCGCTTGCCAGTCTGCTTGTAGACGGTTTGACGCACGTCGTCCTCGTTGATCGCCAGGAGGTCGAGGTCCAACTCCGCATCTTCATCATCGTCACTTGGTCGGTCCATCGAAAAGTCAAAAGTCGATTCGTCGAAGGTGATGTCACGACTGATCACCACTTGGCCCGCCTCAATGTCGTACACTCGATAAGCTTTTGACGCTTCTTCGTAGCCCATGAACATCCCTTCACAAGCCTTCGGGTCCCACTTCAATCGCTTCTCCCTTGGTGTCAGGATAAACGCCCGACATCCAAACACGCGCATGTGCTTGACACTTGGTTTCGACTTGTACACGATCTCGAACGGAGTCTTGTGGTCGATCTTGGGTGAAGGCAGGCGGTTCTTGATGTAGATCGCCGTCATTGCCGCTTCAGCCCAGAAACACTTCTCCAGCTTTGCATGATGCAACAAGCTGCGTCCGATCGTGACGATGGTCCTTATCGCGCGTTCTGCGGTGCCGTTGGTCTGGTGTGCATACGGCACCGTGATCTGTTGTTCAATACCATGATCTTCGTAGAAGGTCTTGATGGAGTTGGTCGCAAACTCATGCGCTCCATCGTGCCGAACAAACTTGATCTTCGTGCCGAACTGAGTTTGAATCTTGATAATGTGGTTCTTGATACAGTCTTCACTCTCAGACTTGGACCGCAGACAGAAGCCCTTCATGCAACCGCTGGCTTCGTCAACCACAAGCAGTAAGTATCTGCTGCCGCCGATCGAAACTTGTTCCATTGGCCCGCAGATGTCGAAGTGCAGCAACTCGAACACACCATATTGGCGTTTGTCACGGTTGGTTGGGAATGGTTTTTGAACCATCTTTCCTTGCTGGCAACCGCGACACACACTTGGACCAGTCGAGTTGAGAGGTGCCTTGGCGTCCTTGATCATGCCAGTGGCCACCATCTTGCGCAGAACTTCGAGGGGTGCATGACCCATGCGCGCATGCAAGTCGATGGTCCCATTGCGTGTTGCTGCATTTGCCGATCGTTGAGGAGTCCGCAGCCAGTAAAGTCCATCGACGAGATCCGCTGTTGCCACGACTTGTGTGGAATTCTTGCGCTTCACTTGCATCTTGGATCCATCGAACACGACTTGGAACCTGCCACCCTTGTTGATCTGTGGCACCGAAAGCAGATTCTTGCTCATACTTGGTACGAACAGTGCGTCCTTGATCTCGATGTCGAGTTCGTCACCATTGGGCAGAACCACCCGTTCCATGATGGTTCCCACACCCTTGATCGCAGCCTTGCTGCCATCAGCCACTGATAGTTCGCCTTCCTCTCGCTCATTCAGGCTTGCAAACTTAGCCTTGTCGTTGCAGATGTGATGCGTCGCACCGCTGTCGACTGCCCACATCCCTGGCATATTCTTGCCCGTCGAAAGTCCAGCCTCCAGCGAAACCGCGAACGCAACTCGATCGTAGTTGTCATCGTAGTTGCTGTTGGTTCGCCACTGAACGTTGTTGGCTCCGCGTCCACGAGCATTGTTGCCGCCGCGTCGAGCTCCACCTTGATTTTCGTCCTTCTGCTTGGTCCAGCACCGCTCCGCCGTGTGCCCCAATTTTCCGCAGTATGTACACTGGCGAGGTTCACGCTCGGCACTGAACGCCTTCGCCGCGTCTTCAGTCTTCACCGATGTCGTCTTGTCACCTTGTCTCTTGATGTGCTCATTCGTGAGCACTCTCACGACGTCTCGCGATCGCAGTTCCGCGCTGCTCATCTCAAGTTGAGAACGACGTTCTCGTAGCTCTTGGGGAGGCTGCGCAACAAGCAGATCGCCACGTCCTCGTCCTCCATCTTGGCGCCGATGCTGCTGAGCTTCGCGCTGATGTTGAGGACTTCGTTGCAATGATGCATCACATTGCCGCCTTCCGCCATCTCCATGCGGAACAGCTGGCGCTTCAAGTAGATGCGTCCAGCCTTCTGCGACCCGCCGTACAGCGTCTTCAAACGCGCCCACGCGACCCACGCCTCTTCACAGTCATCAACCACGTGATGATAATCCGCGCTCATGTGCAGAAGCATCAAGCCGAACGCAATGTTGTTCGTCTTGACGTAGTCGTCACTGGCGCGAGGATCGGCGAAGGTGGGGGTGGTCTCCCGGTTCACCACGTGCCACGCCGACTTGGTCAGGAACACGCCACGCATGTAGCGGCTCCACGTCGCGTAGTTGTCGCCGTCGAACTTGTCGATGGAGATCTTGGTGGTGGCATCATGAGCAGAGGACATCGTGCTTGGGCTCATAACCTGTTGAATGGTGAAAAGCTTGACGACCGAAACTGGGAGTGATGCTGGGAGTCTACTCGGAAGACCGGAGAAGACACTTGGGGGGTAGATGGAAGATTGGAAAGTGATTGATTATCGGGGCTTACTACTTACTACATGATTTATATGTGGTGCACATATAAATCATGTGAAGCGTCTCATCATCCTACGCGTCTAATCAACTATGGTAATTACCGTAAGAACTACGTCGTAAATACTAAGCTGAAGAGGCGGTTCGGATTGGACCGGTCACGGTTACCAATACTGGTAGAAACCGATGACCGTCAGCAAGCTGCGCTTGTCTCGGTTGCTTGGAAATGGTTTTTGGACCATTTTCCCTTGTTGACATCCTCGACATGTAGTTGCTCCACCCGACTTGAGAGGGACTCGCACATCCTTGATCATGTTGGTCGCGATCATCTTGCGAAGTACATCGACTGGAGCATGACCCATTCTCGCATGTAGATCGGCACAACTGGTTCCACTTGTTGTCACATTCGCTGATAGTTGAGTCGTCCGAAGCCAGTAGAGTCCATCCACGAGATCCGCTGTCGCCACCACTTCCTGTGAGTTCTTGAGAGTCACATACATCTTGGACCCGTCAAACACGACTTGAAACTTGCCATGGCTGTTAATCTGTGGTACCGAGAGCAGGTTCTTGCTCATACTTGGAACATATAGCGCGTTCTTGATTTCGATCTCACGCTCTTCACCGTTGGGCAGAACCACCTTTTCCATTATGGTTCCCACACCCTTGTTGGCCACCTTGTTGCCATCAGCCACCAAGAGTTCGCCCTCATTGCTGTTGACGGTCATCGGTTTTCTACCAGTGTTGGTAACCGTGACCGGTCCAATCCGAACCGCCTGTTCAGCCTAGTATTTACGACGTAGTTCTTACGGTAATTACCATAGTTGATTAGACGCGTAGGATGATGAGACGCTTCACATGATTTATATGTACACCACATATAAATCATGTAGTAAGTAGTAAGTCCCGATAATCAATCACTTTCGAATCTTCCAACTATTGGGCAAGTGTTTTCTGCTCTACTCTCTTCGGTCTCTCCGCTCCGTTCGCTCCGCTTTCCTCGCTCCGATCTACAATGCAACAGGTTATGAGCCCAAGCGCCATGTCGTCCACCAGCAACGCCTCCATTGACAAGTTCAACGGAGAGAATTACGCAACGTGGAGCCGGTACATGCGCGGTGTGTTTTTGACGAAGTCCGTCTGGCACGTCGTCAACCGTGAAGTGACTCCGACTTTCACCGACCCGCGAGCGTCCGATGACTACGTCAAGGCAAGCAACGTCGCGTTTGGTATGATGCTGCTGCACATGAACGCGGACTACCATCATGTGCTGGACAACTGCGAGGAAGCCTGGGTTGCGTGGACCAGTCTGAAGACGCTGTACGGTGGGTCGCAGAAGGCAGGACGCATCTACCTCAAGCGACAACTTTTCAGCATCAAGATGGCTGAAGGCGCGAACGTCATGCATCACTGCAACGAGGTCCTCAACATCTCCGCCAAGCTTAGCGGCATCGGTGCGAAGATGGAAGACGAAGACGTTGCAATTTGTCTGCTACTCAGTCTTCCGAAGAGCTACGAAAATGTGGTACTCAACATGGAAATGAGCAGCACCGAGCTTCGCACTCAAGATGTGGTGAGAGTCCTGACGAATGAGCATGCCAAGCGTCAAGGAGAAAAAGGGACAACGACAGCGACTACGGTGAAGGCTGAAGATGCAAGCAAGGCATTCAGCGCCGAGCGTGAGCCCTACCAATGCACGTATTGTGGCAAGGTGGGACACACGGTGGATCGTTGCTGGACAAAACAGAAGAACGAAGGTCGGGGAGCCCGACGCGGCGGCAATGGTCGTGGACGCGGGGCTAACAATGTCCAGTGGGGACATCATGATGAAGGCAATGGCTACGATCGAGTGGCGTCTGCAGTCTCGTTCGAATGTGGAGTTTCGACGAGCAAGGACGTGTCTGGAATGTGGGCCGTCGACAGTGGTGCAACGCACCACATTTGCCACGACAAGACCAAGTTCGCAAGTTTGGCAGAGCGCAATGAGGGCGAACTCTTGGTGGCTGATGGCAACAAGGTGGCCATCAAGGGTGTGGGAGCCATAATGGAAAAGGTGGTTCTGCCCAACGGTGAAGAGCGTCAGATCGAAATCAAGAACGCACTATATGTTCCAAGTATGAGCAAGAACCTGCTCTCGGTACCACAGATTAACAGCCATGGCAAGTTTCAAGTCGTGTTTGACGGGTCCAAGATGTATGTATTGAGGGTTACCGGTACAATCCGAACCTAGCGCGTAGTTCTTACGAGATAGTTTTACATCGGTAATTACCTCAGAGATGATTAGACGCGTAGGATGATTGGACGCGTGTAAATCAGGTTGATTAGATGCACCATGTGATTGGATGCAGTCTAGGGTAGGCAGAAGTTAAGACCTATAAATCAATCACTTTCGAATCCTCCCTCAAGTGAGCAAGTGTTCTCTGCTTCGTTCTCTCCGGTCTCTCCGCTTCGTTTTCTCTTCGCCTCGCGCTCAAGTTACAACAGGTTATGAGCCCAAGCGCCATGTCGTCCAACAACACCTCGGCCAGTGTCTCCATCGATAAGTTCGATGGGGACAACTACTCAACCTGGTGTCGCTACATGCGCGGCGTGTTTCTGACGAAGTCAGTCTGGTACGTCGTGAACCGCGAAACGTCTCCAACCTTCACCGACACGCGAGCTTCCGACGAGTACGTCAAGGCGAGCAACATCGCGTTCGGGTTGATGTTGCTCCACATGGACGCCGACTACCACCATGTGGTCGACAACTGTGAAGAAGCATGGACATCGTGGTCGCGGTTGAAGATGCTCTATGGTGGGTCGCAGAAGGCGGGACGCATCTACCTCAAGCGCCAGCTGTTCAGCATCAAGATGGCGGAAGGTGCCAACGTCTTGCACCATTGCAACGAAGTCTTGAACATCGGCGCCAAGCTCAGCAGCATCGGTGCCAAGATGGAAGACGAAGACATTGCGATCTGCTTGCTGCTCAGTCTCCCGAAGAGTTTCGAGAACGTGGTTCTGAACTTGGAGATGAGCAATGCAGAGCTGCGCACGCAAGATGTGGTCAAGGTGCTGACTAACGAGCACATCAAGCGACAAGGCGAGAAGATGACAACGGCAACGACAACGGTGAAGACTGAAGATGCGACAAAGGCATTCAGTACCGAGCGCAAGCCCTACCAATGCACATACTGCGGCAAGGTGGGGCACACGGCAGAGCGTTGCTGGACGAAGCAAAAGGATGAAAGTCGAGGAGCCCAACGCGGCGGCAATGGTCGTGGACGCGGGGCAAACAATGTCCAGTGGCGACATTATGATGAAGGCAACAGCTACGATCGAGTGGCGTTTGCAGTTTCGTTCGAATGCGGAGTTTCGACGAACAAGAATGGACCAGGAATGTGGGCCGTTGACAGCGGGGCAACACATCACATCTGCCACGACAAGTTCAAGTTTGCAAGCTTGGTCGAAGGCCATGATGGCGAGATCCTGGTGGCTGATGGCAACAAGGCGGCCATCAAAGGTGTGGGGACCATCGTGGAAAAGGTGATTCTGCCAAACGGGGAAGAGCGCGAGATCGAGATCAAGAACGCGCTCTATGTGCCCAGCATGAGCAAAAATCTGCTCTCGGTGCCGCAGATTAACAAGCACGGCAACTTCCAAGTGGTGTTTGACGGGGATACGATGTACGTCGCTCGCAAGGATTCCAATCAAGTGGTGGCAGCTGCGGATCTTGTAGACGGACTCTACTGGCTTCGCACGACGCAGCGATCGGCCAATGCGACATCACTCAGCAACGCTGTTGATCTACATGCGCGAATGGGCCATGCTCCAGTCGACGTGCTTCGCAGGATGGTGACAAGCCACATGATCAAGGACGCTCACATCCCTTCCAAGCCGAATGGATCAAGTGTGTGTCGAGGATGCCAAGAAGGGAAGATGGTCCAAAAACCATTCCCGAGCAACCGTGACAAGCGCACCTACAACACCTTCGAGATGCTCCACTTCGACATCTGCGGACCCATGGAAGAAAAATATCTGGGTGGCAGCAAGTATCTGCTGCTGATCGTGGATGAAGCCAGCGGATGCATGAAGGGTTTTTGTCTGCATTCCAAGTCAGAGAGCGAAGAGTGCATCAAGAAGTACATCACGATGATACAGACGCAGTTCAACAAGAAAGTCAAATTTGTGCGACACGATGGAGCCCGCGAGTTTGCGACGAACTCGCTTCAAGATTTCTACGAAGTCGAAGGCATCGAGCAACAAACCACGGTGCCATACGCACATCAAGCCAATGGAACTGCTGAACGCGCGATTCGAACTATCGTCACCATCGGTCGTAGCATGCTCCGTCATGCCAAGTTGGACAAGTGCTTCTGGGCTGAAGCGGCAATGACGGCCGTCTATGTGAAGAACCGTTTGCCGTCACCCAAGATTCCACACAAGACACCGTTCGAGATTGTCTACAATTCTAAGCCAAGTGTCAAACACATGCGCGTTTTTGGGTGCCAAGCATACATCTTGACCCCGAAGGAGAAACGACTCAAGTGGGATGCCAAGGCTCGTGCAGGTGTGTTCATGGGATACGAAGAAGTTTTAAAAGCGTATCGAGTTTACGACATCGAAGCGGGGCAGGTGATGATAAGTCGCGATGTCAACTTCGATGAGTCGGCCTTTGGAATGTCGATGCTGATTTCCGATGACGATGTTGATGGCCTGGACTTCGAATCGATCGATCTTGATGATGAAGAACCGCGTCCGAGACACTTCAAACAAACAGGAAAGCGCAAGGCCCAACCCAGTCACGACAATGACGACGCAAGCATGCCCCGAGCAGTGCGCCAACGACCCGGATTGGAAGAGTCAAGTGCGCCGGATGACATCTCTTCACGTCGAGCCAACGAAGATGAAGAAAGGAAGTCGGAGGAACAACATGACACACCGACTTCCTCCGCGTTTTGGCATGCGAGTGCAAACGCCGTCGAAGCAGCGGTCGATTTTTCGGAGCCGTCGACATTTGAAGAAGCAGTGTCTGGCCCGGACCAAGTACACTGGCGCAAGGCAATTGATGCGGAGCTCGATTCGATGAAGCTTCGCGGTGTCTTTCGTGCGGCCAAGTTACCCAACGGACAAAGCGCCATTGGCACAAAGTGGGTCTTCAAGATCAAGCGCAAGGCGGATGGGTCGATCGAGAAATACAAGGCACGACTTGTGGCCAAGGGTTTTCGCCAAAAGTATGGCATCGACTACACGGAGACGTTCTCGCCCGTGGTGAAGTATGTGACGCTGCGAATGGTCATCGCCATTACCAAGCACTTTGGATGGCCCCTCGACCAGCTCGATGTGGTGACTGCGTTCCTGTATGGAGTGATGAAGGAGAAGGTGTTCTGCGCTGTTCCAGAAGGCGTCAAGATGGAAGGTGATTTCGACTGTCTCGAGCTGATCAAGGCGATCTACGGTCTCAAGCAAGCCTCGCGTGTTTGGAACGAGACCTTCGACGAGTTCATACGCTCGATTGGTTTTCAAGCGTCGGGATTCGATCCATGTCTCTACATCATGACTTCGGAAGGCCATTGTGTTTTTGTGCTGGTCTACGTGGACGATGTCTTGGTGACTGGAAGCTCGCTCGAGATGATTGCGCGCACCAAGAACGACCTCAAGACACGCTTCGAGATGACGGACAGCGGCAAGTGTGCCTTTGTTCTTGGGATCGAGTTATTGGACGGTGAAGATGGCAGCGTGACTATGTGTCAGCGCCGTTATGTCGACGATGTCCTCAAGCGCTTTGGAATGGATGAGTGCAAGGCTGTGGCAAGTCCGGTGGACGTCAGCTCTCGACTGGTTCCGAGCAACTCTGCAAGCAAGGTGGATGTCCCATTCCGTGAAGCAGTGGGTGCTTTGATGCATCTGACGACTGCAACGCGACCGGACATCGCCTATGCTGTAAGCTTTGTGTCACGGTTCATGGAGAAACCCCAAGAAGAACACTGGGTTGCAGTCAAGCGCATCTTCCGCTACCTACAAGGCACCAAGATGCATGGAATCTGCTACAAGCCAAGTGCGAAGATCGACTTTCGTGGCTATTCAGATGCAGACTGGGCCGGTGACCTTGCTGATCGCAAATCGACGTCCGGCTACGTCTTCATGCTATTGGGTGCTCCGGTGAGTTGGGGCAGCAAGAAACAGCCAAGTGTGTCACTGTCTACAAGCGAAGCGGAGTACATCGCGCTCAGCCTGGCGATCCAAGAAGGCAAGTGGATCAATCGCTTGCTGTGCGAGATCATGGCGGCTGCAAACGAAGAAGGACCCGAGCTCGTCATCCGTGAAGACAACCAGTCGTGCATCAAGATGACGAAGAATCCGGTCAACCACGGCCGCGCTAAACACATCGACATCAAGTACCATCACATCCGTGATGAAGTCAAGCGCGGCGAAGTGAAGCTTGAATACTGCGAGACGACGTTGATGTTGGCGGACATCATGACGAAGGGACTTCACGGACCGCGTCACAAGGACTTGACGGCGGCGCTTGGCATCCGTGCGTGTTCGGATTGAGGGGGCGTATTGAGGGTTACCGGTACAATCCGAACCTAGCGCGTAGTTCTTACGAGATAGTTTTTACATCGGTAATTACCTCAGAGATGATTAGACGCGTAGGATGATTGGACGCGTGTAAATTGTTGACGGTCATCGGTTTCTACCAGTATTGGTAACCGTGACCGGTCCAATCCGAACCGCCTGTTCAGCTTAGTATTTACGACGTAGTTCTTACGGTAATTACCATGGTTGATTAGACGCGTAGGATGATGAGACGCTTCACATGATTTATATGTGCACCACATATAAATCATGTAGTAAGTAGTAAGCCCCGATAATCAATCACTTTCCAATCTTCCATCTACCCCCCAAGTGTCTTCTCCGGTCTTCCGAGTAGACTCCCAGCATCACTCCCAGTTTCGGTCGTCAAGCTTTTCACCAATCAACAGGTTATGAGCCCAAGCACGATGTCCTCTGCTCATGATGCCACCACCAAGATCTCCATCGACAAGTTCGACGGCGACAACTACGCGACGTGGAGCCGCTACATGCGTGGCGTGTTCCTGACCAAGTCGGCGTGGCACGTGGTGAACCGGGAGACCACCCCCCACCTTCGCCGATCCTCGCGCCAGTGACGACTACATCAAGACGAACAACATTGCGTTCGGCTTGATGCTGCTGCACATGAGCGCGGATTATCATCACGTGGTTGATGACTGTGAAGAGGCGTGGGTCGCGTGGGCGCGTTTGAAGACGCTGTACGGCGGGTCGCAGAAGGCTGGACGCATCTACTTGAAGCGCCAGCTGTTCAGCATGGAGATGGCGGAAGGCGGCAATGTGATGCATCATTGCAACGAAGTCCTCAACATCAGCGCGAAGCTCAGCAGCATCGGCGCCAAGATGGAGGACGAGGACGTGGCGATCTGCTTGTTGCGCAGCCTCCCCAAGAGCTACGAGAACGTCGTTCTCAACTTGGAGATGAGCAGCGCGGAACTGCGATCGCGAGACGTCGTGAGAGTGCTCACGAATGAGCACATCAAGAGACAAGGTGACAAGACGACATCGGTGAAGACTGAAGACGCGGCGAAGGCGTTCAGTGCCGAGCGTGAACCTCGCCAGTGTACATACTGCGGAAAATTGGGGCACACGGCGGAGCGGTGCTGGACCAAGCAGAAGGACGAAAATCAAGGTGGAGCTCGACGCGGCGGCAACAATGCTCGTGGACGCGGAGCCAACAACGTTCAGTGGCGAACCAACAGCAACTACGATGACAACTACGATCGAGTTGCGTTCGCGGTTTCGCTGGAGGCTGGACTTTCGACGGGCAAGAATATGCCAGGGATGTGGGCAGTCGACAGCGGTGCGACGCATCACATCTGCAACGACAAGGCCAAGTTTGCAAGCCTGAATGAGCGAGAGGAAGGCGAACTATCAGTGGCTGATGGCAGCAAGGCTGCGATCAAGGGTGTGGGAACCATCATGGAACGGGTGGTTCTGCCCAATGGTGACGAACTCGACATCGAGATCAAGGACGCACTGTTCGTACCAAGTATGAGCAAGAATCTGCTTTCGGTGCCACAGATCAACAAGGGTGGCAGGTTCCAAGTCGTGTTCGATGGATCCAAGATGCAAGTGAAGCGCAAGAATTCCACACAAGTCGTGGCAACAGCGGATCTCGTCGATGGACTTTACTGGCTGCGGACTCCTCAACGATCGGCAAATGCAGCAACACGCAATGGGACCATCGACTTGCATGCGCGCATGGGTCATGCACCCCTCGAAGTTCTGCGCAAGATGGTGGCCACTGGCATGATCAAGGACGCCAAGGCACCTCTCAACTCGACTGGTCCAAGTGTGTGTCGCGGTTGCCAGCAAGGAAAGATGGTTCAAAAACCATTCCCAACCAACCGTGACAAACGCCAATATGGTGTGTTCGAGTTGCTGCACTTCGACATCTGCGGGCCAATGGAACAAGTTTCGATCGGCGGCAGCAGATACTTACTGCTTGTGGTTGACGAAGCCAGCGGTTGCATGAAGGGCTTCTGTCTGCGGTCCAAGTCTGAGAGTGAAGACTGTATCAAGAACCACATTATCAAGATTCAAACTCAGTTCGGCACGAAGATCAAGTTTGTTCGGCACGATGGAGCGCATGAGTTTGCGACCAACTCCATCAAGACCTTCTACGAAGATCATGGTATTGAACAACAGATCACGGTGCCGTATGCACACCAGACCAACGGCACCGCAGAACGCGCGATAAGGACCATCGTCACGATCGGACGCAGCTTGTTGCATCATGCAAAGCTGGAGAAGTGTTTCTGGGCTGAAGCGGCAATGACGGCGATCTACATCAAGAACCGCCTGCCTTCACCCAAGATCGACCACAAGACTCCGTTCGAGATCGTGTACAAGTCGAAACCAAGTGTCAAGCACATGCGCGTGTTTGGATGTCGGGCGTTTATCCTGACACCAAGGGAGAAGCGATTGAAGTGGGACCCGAAGGCTTGTGAAGGGATGTTCATGGGCTACGAAGAAGCGTCAAAAGCTTATCGAGTGTACGACATTGAGGCGGGCCAAGTGGTGATCAGTCGTGACATCACCTTCGACGAATCGACTTTTGACTTTTCGATGGACCGACCAAGTGACGATGATGAAGATGCGGAGTTGGACCTCGACCTCCTGGCGATCAACGAGGACGACGTGCGTCAAACCGTCTACAAGCAGACTGGCAAGCGCAAGAGTGAAGCAAGACCCGGCATGTCACGGTCAGCTCGCCCTCGAACTGGGTTGGAACAAGCAAGTGCGCCGGAACACGTCTCCAACCGTCACCAGAAACGACGATCAAGTGCTCCAGAAACGATGTCTGATGACGAAGAAGATGCAAGCGTGTACGATCAAGATGACGACTCGACGCCTCCAACATTTTGGCGTGCAAGTGCAAACGCAGTGGAAGCAACGGACCTAGCAGAACCTGTGACTTTTCAAGACGCGATCAATGGTCCTGATCAAACTCACTGGCGAAATGCTGTGAAGGCGGAACTCAAGTCGATGCATCTTCGTGGAGTTTTCCGTGCGGCAAAACTGCCAAGAGGCCAAGGCGCGATCGGCACCAAGTGGGTGTTCAAGATCAAGCGCAAAGCGGATGGATCGGTCGAGAAATACAAGGCGCGTCTCGTTGCCAAGGGCTTCAAGCAGAAGTACGGCATCGACTACACAGAGACGTTCTCGCCCGTGGTCAAGTACGTGACACTGCGTATGGTGATCGCGATCACCAAGTATTTCGACTGGCCACTGGACCAACTCGATGTGGTGACAGCCTTTCTCTACGGAGTGATGAAGGAGAAGGTGTACTGCGTGATACCAGAAGGCGTCGAGATGGATGGCGACTTCGACTGTCTCGAGTTGGTGAAGGCGATCTACGGTCTCAAGCAAGCTTCACGTGTGTGGAACGAGACTTTCGACGAGTTCGTATGCTCCATCGGTTTCGAAGCGTCGGCGTTCGACCCATGTCTCTACATCAAGGTTGTCGACGGTCACTGTGTGCTCGTGCTGGTCTACGTGGATGACGTGTTGGTCACCGGCAGCTCGCTCGAGTTGATTGCGCAGACGAAGGCCGACCTCAAGACGCGTTTCGAGATGACCGACAGTGGCAAGTGTACTTTTGTACTGGGCATCGAACTGGTGGACGAATCGGATGGCAGCGTGACAATGTGCCAGCGACGGTATGTCAACGACATCCTCAAGCGCTTCGGCATGGAGAGTGCAAGGCCAAGCAAGTCTCGGTCGACTTGAGCACTCGGCTTGTCGCAAGCACCGAAGCGGCCAAGATCGACGTTCCGTTTCGTGAAGCTGTGGGAGCTTTAATGCACTTGACGACTGCGACGCGCCCGGACATTGCGTATGCTGTGGGATACGTCTCGCGCTTCATGGAGAATCCGCAGCAAGAACATTGGACGGCGGTGAAGCGCATCTTTCGTTACTTGCAAGGGACCAAGTCGCACGGACTCCGCTTCCAGCCAAGCGACAAGATCGACTTTCGTGGCTACTCGGACGCGGACTGGGCCGGCGACCACGCTGATCGCAAGTCGACTTCGGGTTACACTTTCATGCTGATGGGTGCTCCTGTGAGTTGGGGAAGCAAGAAGCAGTCAAGTGTGTCGCTGTCGACGAGTGAAGCGGAATACATCGCACTGAGTCTGGCCATCCAGGAAGGCAAGTGGGTGCATCGCCTGCTATGCGAGATTTTGGCGGCCGCAAACGAACCAGGACCGGACCTCGTCATCCGTGAAGACAACCAGTCGTGCATCAAGATGACGAAGAATCCGGTGAATCATGGCCGCGCCAAGCACATCGACATCAAGTACCATCACATCCGTGATGAGGTCAAGCGCGGGGAAGTGCAGCTCGAGTATTGCGAGACTTCCGTGATGATGGCGGACATCATGACCAAGGGACTTTCGGGACCTCGTCACAAGGACTTGACGACGGCTCTCGGCATTCGTGCGAGTTCGGATTGAGGGGGCGTGTTGACGGTCATCGGTTTCTACCAGTATTGGTAACCGTGACCGGTCCAATCCGAACCGCCTGTTCAGCTTAGTATTTACGACGTAGTTCTTACGGTAATTACCATGGTTGATTAGACGCGTAGGATGATGAGACGCTTCACATGATTTATATGTGCACCACATATAAATCATGTAGCAAGTAGTAAGCCCCGATAATCAATCACTTTCCAATCTTCCATCTACCCCCCAAGTGTCTTCTCCGGTCTTCCGAGTAGACTCCCAGCATCACTCCCAGTTTCGGTCGTCAAGCTTTTCACCAATCAATAGGTTATGAGCCCAAGCACGATGTCCTCTGCTCATGATGCCACCACCAAGATCTCCATCGACAAGTTCGACGGCGACAACTACGCGACGTGGAGCCGCTACATGCGTGGCGTGTTCCTGACCAAGTCGGCGTGGCACGTGGTGAACCGGGAGACCACCCCCACCTTCGCCGATCCTCGCGCCAGTGACGACTACATCAAGACGAACAACATTGCGTTCGGCTTGATGCTGCTGCACATGAGCGCGGATTATCATCACGTGGTTGATGACTGTGAAGAGGCGTGGGTCGCGTGGGCGCGTTTGAAGACGCTGTACGGCGGGTCGCAGAAGGCTGGACGCATCTACTTGAAGCGCCAGCTGTTCAGCATGGAGATGGCGGAAGGCGGCAATGTGATGCATCATTGCAACGAAGTCCTCAACATCAGCGCGAAGCTCAGCAGCATCGGCGCCAAGATGGAGGACGAGGACGTGGCGATCTGCTTGTTGCGCAGCCTCCCCAAGAGCTACGAGAACGTCGTTCTCAACTTGGAGATGAGCAGCGCGGAACTGCGATCGCGAGACGTCGTGAGAGTGCTCACGAATGAGCACATCAAGAGACAAGGTGACAAGACGACATCGGTGAAGACTGAAGACGCGGCGAAGGCGTTCAGTGCCGAGCGTGAACCTCGCCAGTGTACATACTGCGGAAAATTGGGGCACACGGCGGAGCGGTGCTGGACCAAGCAGAAGGACGAAAATCAAGGTGGAGCTCGACGCGGCGGCAACAATGCTCGTGGACGCGGAGCCAACAACGTTCAGTGGCGAACCAACAGCAACTACGATGACAACTACGATCGAGTTGCGTTCGCGGTTTCGCTGGAGGCTGGACTTTCGACGGGCAAGAATATGCCAGGGATGTGGGCAGTCGACAGCGGTGCGACGCATCACATCTGCAACGACAAGGCCAAGTTTGCAAGCCTGAATGAGCGAGAGGAAGGCGAACTATCAGTGGCTGATGGCAGCAAGGCTGCGATCAAGGGTGTGGGAACCATCATGGAACGGGTGGTTCTGCCCAATGGTGACGAACTCGACATCGAGATCAAGGACGCACTGTTCGTACCAAGTATGAGCAAGAATCTGCTTTCGGTGCCACAGATCAACAAGGGTGGCAGGTTCCAAGTCGTGTTCGATGGATCCAAGATGCAAGTGAAGCGCAAGAATTCCACACAAGTCGTGGCAACAGCGGATCTCGTCGATGGACTTTACTGGCTGCGGACTCCTCAACGATCGGCAAATGCAGCAACACGCAATGGGACCATCGACTTGCATGCGCGCATGGGTCATGCACCCCTCGAAGTTCTGCGCAAGATGGTGGCCACTGGCATGATCAAGGACGCCAAGGCACCTCTCAACTCGACTGGTCCAAGTGTGTGTCGCGGTTGCCAGCAAGGAAAGATGGTTCAAAAACCATTCCCAACCAACCGTGACAAACGCCAATATGGTGTGTTCGAGTTGCTGCACTTCGACATCTGCGGGCCAATGGAACAAGTTTCGATCGGCGGCAGCAGATACTTACTGCTTGTGGTTGACGAAGCCAGCGGTTGCATGAAGGGCTTCTGTCTGCGGTCCAAGTCTGAGAGTGAAGACTGTATCAAGAACCACATTATCAAGATTCAAACTCAGTTCGGCACGAAGATCAAGTTTGTTCGGCACGATGGAGCGCATGAGTTTGCGACCAACTCCATCAAGACCTTCTACGAAGATCATGGTATTGAACAACAGATCACGGTGCCGTATGCACACCAGACCAACGGCACCGCAGAACGCGCGATAAGGACCATCGTCACGATCGGACGCAGCTTGTTGCATCATGCAAAGCTGGAGAAGTGTTTCTGGGCTGAAGCGGCAATGACGGCGATCTACATCAAGAACCGCCTGCCTTCACCCAAGATCGACCACAAGACTCCGTTCGAGATCGTGTACAAGTCGAAACCAAGTGTCAAGCACATGCGCGTGTTTGGATGTCGGGCGTTTATCCTGACACCAAGGGAGAAGCGATTGAAGTGGGACCCGAAGGCTTGTGAAGGGATGTTCATGGGCTACGAAGAAGCGTCAAAAGCTTATCGAGTGTACGACATTGAGGCGGGCCAAGTGGTGATCAGTCGTGACATCACCTTCGACGAATCGACTTTTGACTTTTCGATGGACCGACCAAGTGACGACGATGAAGATGCGGAGTTGGACCTCGACCTCCTGGCGATCAACGAGGACGACGTGCGTCAAACCGTCTACAAGCAGACTGGCAAGCGCAAGAGTGAAGCAAGACCCGGCATGTCACGGTCAGCTCGCCCTCGAACTGGGTTGGAACAAGCAAGTGCGCCGGAACACGTCTCCAACCGTCACCAGAAACGACGATCAAGTGCTCCAGAAACGATGTCTGATGACGAAGAAGATGCAAGCGTGTACGATCAAGATGACGACTCGACGCCTCCAACATTTTGGCGTGCAAGTGCAAACGCAGTGGAAGCAACGGACCTAGCAGAACCTGTGACTTTTCAAGACGCGATCAATGGTCCTGATCAAACTCACTGGCGAAATGCTGTGAAGGCGGAACTCAAGTCGATGCATCTTCGTGGAGTTTTCCGTGCGGCAAAACTGCCAAGAGGCCAAGGCGCGATCGGCACCAAGTGGGTGTTCAAGATCAAGCGCAAAGCGGATGGATCGGTCGAGAAATACAAGGCGCGTCTCGTTGCCAAGGGCTTCAAGCAGAAGTACGGCATCGACTACACAGAGACGTTCTCGCCCGTGGTCAAGTACGTGACACTGCGTATGGTGATCGCGATCACCAAGTATTTCGACTGGCCACTGGACCAACTCGATGTGGTGACAGCCTTTCTCTACGGAGTGATGAAGGAGAAGGTGTACTGCGTGATACCAGAAGGCGTCGAGATGGATGGCGACTTCGACTGTCTCGAGTTGGTGAAGGCGATCTACGGTCTCAAGCAAGCTTCACGTGTGTGGAACGAGACTTTCGACGAGTTCGTATGCTCCATCGGTTTCGAAGCGTCGGCGTTCGACCCATGTCTCTACATCAAGGTTGTCGACGGTCACTGTGTGCTCGTGCTGGTCTACGTGGATGACGTGTTGGTCACCGGCAGCTCGCTCGAGTTGATTGCGCAGACGAAGGCCGACCTCAAGACGCGTTTCGAGATGACCGACAGTGGCAAGTGTACTTTTGTACTGGGCATCGAACTGGTGGACGAATCGGATGGCAGCGTGACAATGTGCCAGCGACGGTATGTCAACGACATCCTCAAGCGCTTCGGCATGGATGAGTGCAAGGCCACAGCAAGTCCGGTCGACTTGAGCACTCGGCTTGTCGCAAGCACCGAAGCGGCCAAGATCGACGTTCCGTTTCGTGAAGCTGTGGGAGCTTTAATGCACTTGACGACTGCGACGCGCCCGGACATTGCGTATGCTGTGGGATACGTCTCGCGCTTCATGGAGAATCCGCAGCAAGAACATTGGACGGCGGTGAAGCGCATCTTTCGTTACTTGCAAGGGACCAAGTCGCACGGACTCCGCTTCCAGCCAAGCGACAAGATCGACTTTCGTGGCTACTCGGACGCGGACTGGGCCGGCGACCACGCTGATCGCAAGTCGACTTCGGGTTACACTTTCATGCTGATGGGTGCTCCTGTGAGTTGGGGAAGCAAGAAGCAGTCAAGTGTGTCGCTGTCGACGAGTGAAGCGGAATACATCGCACTGAGTCTGGCCATCCAGGAAGGCAAGTGGGTGCATCGCCTGCTATGCGAGATTTTGGCGGCCGCAAACGAACCAGGACCGGACCTCGTCATCCGTGAAGACAACCAGTCGTGCATCAAGATGACGAAGAATCCGGTGAATCATGGCCGCGCCAAGCACATCGACATCAAGTACCATCACATCCGTGATGAGGTCAAGCGCGGGGAAGTGCAGCTCGAGTATTGCGAGACTTCCGTGATGATGGCGGACATCATGACCAAGGGACTTTCGGGACCTCGTCACAAGGACTTGACGACGGCTCTCGGCATTCGTGCGAGTTCGGATTGAGGGGGCGTGTTGACGGTCATCGGTTTCTACCAGTATTGGTAACCGTGACCGGTCCAATCCGAACCGCCTGTTCAGCTTAGTATTTACGACGTAGTTCTTACGGTAATTACCATGGTTGATTAGACGCGTAGGATGATGAGATCGCTTCACATGATTTATATGTGCACCACATATAAATCATGTAGCAAGTAGTAAGCCCCGATAATCAATCACTTTCCAATCTTCCATCTACCCCCCAAGTGTCTTCTCCGGTCTTCCGAGTAGACTCCCAGCATCACTCCCAGTTTCGGTCGTCAAGCTTTTCACCAATCAATATAAATCAGGTTGATTAGATGCACCATGTGATTGGATGCAGTCTAGGGTAGGCAGAAGTTAAGACCTATAAATCAATCGCTTTCGAATCCTACCTCAAGTGAGCAAGTGTTCTCTGCTTCGTTCTCTCCCGGTCTCTCCGCTTCGTTTTCTCTTCGCCTCGCGCTCAAGTTACAACAGTATGTGACTCTCAAGAACTCACAGGAAGTGGTGGCGACAGCGGATCTCGTGGATGGACTCTACTGGCTTCGGACGACTCAACGATCAGCGAATGTGACAACAAGTGGAACCAGTTGTGCCGATCTACATGCGAGAATGGGTCATGCTCCAGTCGATGTACTTCGCAAGATGATCGCGACCAACATGATCAAGGATGTGCGAGTCCCTCTCAAGTCGGGTGGAGCAACTACATGTCGAGGATGTCAACAAGGGAAAATGGTCCAAAAACCATTTCCAAGCAACCGAGACAAGCGCAGCTACGATACGTTTGTGCTGCTTCATCTGGACATCTGCGGGCCCCATGGAAAAGGATTCGCTCGGTGGCAGCAAATATTTGCTGCTGATCATCGACGAAGCCAGTGGATGCATGAAGGGATTTTGTCTACGAGTGAAGTCCGAGAGTGAAGACTACATCCGGAAATATATCACCATGGTACAGACGCAATTCTGTAAGAAGGTCAAGTTCGTGCGACACGACGGAGCTCGCGAGTTTGCAACCAACTCGCTTCAACTGTGTTGAAAAGACAGCGGCTGTGAAGAAGACACCTCGTCAAGCTGCGTCAAGTGTTGAAGCAAGTGGAAGACCAAGCTTCGCTATACCGGTGGGTACCGGTATGTACCAGTAAGGGCGAAGTCAGGAAATGACGTCACTGGATGACGTCATTGCATGACGTCAGTGGGTGACGTCAGTGGGTGACGTCACTGGATGACGTCACTGCGAATAATAGGCTTAGAGGTAGTATTCAAAGTTGCGAACTAAGTACCTATTATAAATATATATTCACTTTGCGTTTTGCACTCGGACCAAGAAGTCTAAAGTTCATCAGGTTATGAGCCCAAGTTCGTCAGACTCTGAAACCGCCAACAATTCAAGCTTAGCTGCCATGGACGCCTCCTCCCTCCGCATCTACAAGTTCGATGGAACTAACTTCCACGCCTGGAAGTTCAAGATGCAGATGGTGCTGGAGGAACGGGACCTATGGGAGGTCGTCAGCGGTGAGATCAAGGCGGAACAGTGCGAGACTCAGTTGGACCAAGCGACGTACAAGAGGAAGTCAAGAAAGGCGATGGCAGTGATCTGTCTAGCCATGGAAGATTCCCAGCTACCGTTGGTCCGGTCGGCAAGTGGTGCATGCGACGCATGGTCAAGGTTGGAAGACCACTTCGAGAAGAAGAGTCTTGCCAACAAGCTGTTCTTGCGCCGTCGCTTCTTCACGACAATGATGGAAGAAGGCGACGATGTGCTCGAACACATCAACAAGCTCAAGACGCTGGCGGAACAGCTAGAAGCGGTGGGGGCTCCAGTCTGCGAGGACGATCTGGTGATCACACTTCTCGGCAGCCTGAGTGACTCGTATCAATTCTTGATCACAGCTTTGGAGTCGCGCTCAGACACTCTTAGCTGGGAGCTCGTGACGTCTCGACTGCTTCATGAAGAAATGAAGCGGAAGGAGCAAGGAAGTAAAGGTGATGAAGCTTCGCAAGGTCAAGCGTTCATCACAAGGGACAATCAGCGCAAAGGGCGACCAGTGAAGAAGTCCTGGCCGTGCCACAATTGCGGAAAGATTGGTCACTGGATGGCGGAGTGCCCCTCGCGCATCCAAGAAAACACGGAGAGACACCGGCCACAGCGTGCTCAAGACAGCGGCGACCGCTATCGATCACAACGTGCAAACGTCGCTCAAGAAGAAGACTCGGGCGACTACCTCTTTCGATCGGTGAAACGACATCTGCGAAATCGAGCGACATCTGGCTGGTCGACTCCGGGGCGACGCAGCACATGACGTGCTCCAAGAAGTTCATGCGGAACTACAAGGGGTTTGACGCTGTGGATGTCCATCTCGCGGATGATGGAATCGTCCAAGCAATCGGCAGTGGGGACATTGTCATGTCGATGAAGACACCCCAAGGGATGAAGAAAGGTGTGCTCACAAAGGTGTGGCACATCCCAAAGTTATCCAGAAACCTGTTCTCGGTCGGCCGCTTCATCAAGGATGTCGGCCCAGTGACGTTCACGAAGGATGGGTGCTATGGAGAAGCGAAAGGGACCAAGTGGAAAATTGGTGCCCGTGAAGGTAAAGGACTGTTCAAGCTGCAAATGACTCCAGTGGCGCCGGAACAAGCAAATGCAGCCAAGTCGTCGGGATGTCAAGAGGGCACCAAGTCGTACCTCTGGCACCTTCGGCTTGGCCACATAGGTCACGATGGACTCAATTGCATCGTGACGAAGAACATTGGAATTGGCATCGACATATCTTCGGTGAAGAAGTGGGACGTGTGTGAAGATTGTGCTCTGGGAAAACAGACTCGAGTGCGCTTCCAATCAAACACTACAGCTCGCACCTCCAAACTCCTCGAAGTGATTCACAGCGACGTATGCGGACCGATGTCGATGGCAACTTTCAGTGGAAAACGGTACTTCGTGACATTCATTGATGACAAGTCAAGATACTGTGTCGTCTATCTGCTCAAGAGCAAATCTGAAGTTGCGGCGAAGTTCATGGAATACGCTGCGATGGCCGAAACGCAAACCGGAAAGCGCGTGAAGTACCTTCAAAGCGACAATGGGGGTGAATACAAGTCCGACAAGCTGGCACGATTCTGCGCGGAACGGGGAATACAACAAAGGTTCACACCCCCATATACTCCTCAGCTAAACGGAGTAGCTGAGAGAATGAATCGCACGCTGGTCGAGTGTGCGCGTTGCATGATGGAACACGCTGGACTGGGAAAGAGCTACTGGGGTGAAGCAGTGATGACGGCGATGTTTCTTCGAAACCGCTGTCCAACACGTGCCATTCACCAAGACAAGTCTCCATATCAAGTGTGGACGATGAAGAAACCGATTCTGGCCAACCTTAAAGTGTTTGGATGCCACGCGTATGTTCAAGTGCCTCAAGACAAACGCGCGAAGTTCGACTCCAAGTCATCACTCTGTCGTTTCCTGGGATACGCCGAACACCAGAAGTCATATCGATTTGAGGAAGTGTCAACAGGAGCGATCAAGATCAGTCGCGATGCCACATTCAAGGAAGACAAGTTTGATGAAGGTTCGCGCAACTACAACGATGATTCAAGTGCCGTTGAGTTTGATGATCAAGACGAGGACGAAGAAAAAGAAGAAGGTAAAACTGACGACGACATGGACTCGAGCGACGATGACAACGAAGACACCAGGTCTTCGAAGAGCAACATCAAGAGACACACGCGCACTCAATCACTTGAGAAAGCTACCGTCATTCCAAGTCCCAAGCGAAGAACATACAGAGGTCCGTCGCTTGAGCATGTGTCAGCGGCTGCAATGGATTTTGAAGCAGCCTACATCGTTGATTCAGTGGGGGAAACGCCGACTACATTCAAGTCGGCGATGGAATCAAGCGACTCCGGCAAGTGGAAAGAAGCGTGTGACTCGGAGTTCGATTCGCTTCAGAGAAACGACACGTGGGAAATCGTGCCTCTTCCGAAAGGTCGCAAGGCCATCGGGTGCCGATGGGTTTTTCGTGTAAAGGAGAATCAAGATGGCGAAGTTGAACGTTTCAAGGCAAGACTTGTGGCCAAAGGATTCTCACAGAAATTCGGAGTTGACTATGAAGAAACTTTCGCACCGGTGGCCAAGTTCACATCGATTCGTGTGGTGCTCAGTATGGCGGCTAAGTACGGCCTAATGCTACATCAGATGGACGTCAAGACAGCGTTTCTTAACGGCTCCCTCAACGAAGACATCTACATGGACCAGCCGGACGGATACCTGGATGCAACACAGCCGGACTATGTGTGCAAGCTAAAGAGATCACTCTACGGCTTGAAGCAATCGCCTCGCATGTGGAACCAAACAATCGATGGGTTCATGATCAAGATGGGATTCAAGAAGTGCGAATCGGACCACTGCATCTACATCAAGCGAGACGACCAAGACATGATTCTCGTGGTGCTCTACGTCGATGATCTCATCCTGGCCAGCAGCAACAACGAACTCCTCAAGTCAACCAAGATGGCGCTGAGAAAACGCTTCGAAATGACGGATCTCGGTGAGCTCGATTACTTTCTCGGCATGGAGATCAAGAACGACCGTAAGACGGGAATGGTGACTGTACAACAAACCAAGTTTCTCAAGTCCGTGTTAACCAAGTTCGGAATGGATAACAGCAAGCACGAAGACACCATGTGCAACGTGCCATATCGAAGTGCTGTCGGAGGCATCATGTATCTCATGGTCGCCACACGTCCGGATCTAGCTGCTGCAGTGGGATCATTATCCCAGTTCTCGTCCGACCCATGCCCGACTCACTGGCAAGCTTTGAAGCGTGTGCTGAGATACCTGCAAGCAACGCCCAATCATGGTCTTGAGTTTACACGTGAAGAAGGAAGCCGTATCTGCGGGTACACCGACGCAGACTGGGCCGGCGACATTGAGTCAAGACGAAGTACAAGCGGCTATGTGTTCATGATGAGCGGAGGATGCATCAGCTGGAAAAGCCAGAAACAACGGACGGTCGCGCTATCTTCAACAGAAGCAGAATACATGGCGCTTTCCGAAGCAACCAAAGAAGCAGTATGGCTCAAAGTGCTTTTGGGGGAACTTGGTGAGATGACAAGCGACGAAGCGATCAAGATGTATGAAGACAACCAAGGATCAATCGCTCTCGCCAAGAACCCGGAGTTCCATAAGAGAACAAAACACATCGACATACGCTACCATTTTGTGCGTGAGAAGGTGGAATCAGGTGAAGTCGTTTTGGAGTATTGCCCGACTCAAGATATGCTGGCAGACATGATGACCAAGCCGATCGCCGCTGTACAATTTGAAAACATTCGCGATCGACTTGGGATCCAAGGTGCCGCAGCTAACGAGTCGAGAGGGAGTGTTGAAAAGACAGCGGCTGTGAAGAAGACACCTCGTCAAGCTGCGTCAAGTGTTGAAGCAAGTGGAAGACCAAGCTTCGCTATACCGGTGGGTACCGGTATGTACCAGTAAGGGCGAAGTCAGGAAATGACGTCACTGGATGACGTCATTGCATGACGTCAGTGGGTGACGTCAGTGGGTGACGTCACTGGATGACGTCACTGCGAATAATAGGCTTAGAGGTAGTATTCAAAGTTGCGAACTAAGTACCTATTATAAATATATATTCACTTTGCGTTTTGCACTCGGACCAAGAAGTCTAAAGTTCATCAAACTGTTCTACGAAGACGAAGGCATTGAACAGCAGACAACGGTGCCGTATGCACATCAAACAAACGGAACAGCAGAGCGTGCCATTAGGACTATTGTCACGATCGGCCGCAGCATGCTTCATCATGCCAAACTGGACAAGTGTTTCTGGGCCGAAGCAGCGATGACGGCCATCTACGTCAAGAATCGACTGCCGTCACCTAAAGTCGTGCACAAGACCCCGTTTGAGATCGTCTACAACTTGAAACCAAGCGTCAAGCACATGCGAACATTCGGATGTCAGACGTACATACTGACGCCTAAAGAGAATCGACTCAAGTGGGATCCAAAGGCTCGCGCTGGCATATTCGTGGGCTACGAAGAAGTTTCGAAGGCATATCGTGTTTATGACATCGAGGCGGGGCAGGTGGTTATCAGCCGCGATGTCAACTTCGACGAGTCCACCTTTGGACTTCAACTGCCGATCACTGATGAAGATGTCGATGACCTGGACTTCGAATTGCTGGATCTTGATGACGAAGAGCTGCGTCAAATGGAGTACAAGCAAACAGGCAAGCGCAAGAACCGACTCAATGATGAAGATACAGCAGCTCCACGACCGCGTGCAGTGCGTCAACGACCAGGACTAGAAGAGTCAAGCGCGCCGGAAAACAACTCGTCACGCCAAGAAGAAGACGAAGAAACGAAGGATTCTGGTGATTCAACACCGCCTGTGTTTTGGCGTGCGAGTGCAAATGCCGTTGAAGCAGCAGTGGACTTATCAGAGCCCTCAACATTTGAAGCAGCAGTAAGCGGCCCTGACCAAGTGCACTGGAGAAAAGCAATTCATGCAGAGCTCGAGTCAATGCGACTTCGCGGTGTGTTTCGTGAAGCCAAGCTGCCCAACGGACAACGCGCCATTGGCACAAAGTGGGTCTTCAAGATCAAGCGCAAGGCGGATGGGTCGATCGAGAAATACAAGGCACGACTTGTGGCCAAGGGTTTTCGCCAAAAGTATGGCATCGACTACACGGAGACGTTCTCGCCCGTGGTCAAGTATGTGACGCTGCGAATGGTCATCGCCATTACCAAGCACTTTGGATGGCCCCTCGACCAGCTCGATGTGGTGACTGCGTTCCTGTATGGAGTGATGAAGGAGAAGGTGTTCTGCGCTGTTCCGGAAGGCGTCAAGATGGAAGGTGATTTTGACTGTCTCGAGCTGATCAAGGCGATCTACGGTCTCAAGCAAGCCTCGCGTGTTTGGAACGAGACCTTCGACGAGTTCATACGCTCGATTGGTTTTCAAGCGTCGGGATTCGATCCATGTCTCTACATCATGACTTCGGAAGGCCATTGTGTTTTTGTGCTGGTCTACGTGGACGATGTCTTGGTGACTGGAAGCTCGCTCGAGATGATTGCGCGCACCAAGAACGACCTCAAGACACGCTTCGAGATGACGGACAGCGGCAAGTGTGCCTTTGTTCTTGGGATCGAGTTATTGGACGGTGAAGATGGCAGCGTGACTATGTGTCAGCGCCGTTATGTCGACGATGTCCTCAAGCGCTTTGGAATGGATGAGTGCAAGGCTGTGGCAAGTCCGGTGGACGTCAGCTCTCGACTGGTTCCGAGCAACTCTGCAAGCAAGGTGGATGTCCCATTCCGTGAAGCAGTGGGTGCTTTGATGCATCTGACGACTGCAACGCGACCGGACATCGCCTATGCTGTAAGCTTTGTGTCACGGTTCATGGAGAAACCCCAAGAAGAACACTGGGTTGCAGTCAAGCGCATCTTCCGCTACCTACAAGGCACCAAGATGCATGGAATCTGCTACAAGCCAAGTGCGAAGATCGACTTTCGTGGCTATTCAGATGCAGACTGGGCCGGTGACCTTGCTGATCGCAAATCGACGTCCGGCTACGTCTTCATGCTATTGGGTGCTCCGGTGAGTTGGGGCAGCAAGAAACAGCCAAGTGTGTCACTGTCTACAAGCGAAGCGGAGTACATCGCGCTCAGCCTGGCGATCCAAGAAGGCAAGTGGATCAATCGCTTGCTGTGCGAGATCATGGCGGCTGCAAACGAAGAAGGACCCGAGCTCGTCATCCGTGAAGACAACCAGTCGTGCATCAAGATGACGAAGAATCCGGTCAACCACGGCCGCGCTAAACACATCGACATCAAGTACCATCACATCCGTGATGAAGTCAAGCGCGGCGAAGTGAAGCTTGAATACTGCGAGACGACGTTGATGTTGGCGGACATCATGACGAAGGGACTTCACGGACCGCGTCACAAGGACTTGACGGCGGCGCTTGACATCCGTGCGTGTTCGGATTGAGGGGGCGTATTGAGGGTTACCGGTACAATCCGAACCTAGCGCGTAGTTCTTACGAGATAGTTTTTACATCGGTAATTACCTCAGAGATGATTAGACGCGTAGGATGATTGGACGCGTGTAAATCAGGTTGATTAGATGCACCATGTGATTGGATGCAGTCTAGGGTAGGCAGAAGTTAAGACCTATAAATCAATCGCTTTCGAATCCTCCCTCAAGTGAGCAAGTGTTCTCTGCTTCGTTCTCTCCGGTCTCTCCGCTTCGTTTTCTCTTCGCCTCGCGCTCAAGTTACAACAGTATGTGACTCTCAAGAACTCACAGGAAGTGGTGGCGACAGCGGATCTCGTGGATGGACTCTACTGGCTTCGGACGACTCAACGATCAGCGAATGTGACAACAAGTGGAACCAGTTGTGCCGATCTACATGCGAGAATGGGTCATGCTCCAGTCGATGTACTTCGCAAGATGATCGCGACCAACATGATCAAGGATGTGCGAGTCCCTCTCAAGTCGGGTGGAGCAACTACATGTCGAGGATGTCAACAAGGGAAAATGGTCCAAAAACCATTTCCAAGCAACCGAGACAAGCGCAGCTACGATACGTTTGTGCTGCTTCATCTGGACATCTGCGGGCCCATGGAAAAGGATTCGCTCGGTGGCAGCAAATATTTGCTGCTGATCATCGACGAAGCCAGTGGATGCATGAAGGGATTTTGTCTACGAGTGAAGTCCGAGAGTGAAGACTACATCCGGAAATATATCACCATGGTACAGACGCAATTCTGTAAGAAGGTCAAGTTCGTGCGACACGACGGAGCTCGCGAGTTTGCAACCAACTCGCTTCAGCTGTTCTACGAAGACGAAGGCATTGAACAGCAGACAACGGTGCCGTATGCACATCAAACAAACGGAACAGCAGAGCGTGCCATTAGGACTATTGTCACGATCGGCCGCAGCATGCTTCATCATGCCAAACTGGACAAGTGTTTCTGGGACGAAGCAGCGATGACGGCCATCTACGTCAAGAATCGACTGCCGTCACCTAAAGTCGTGCACAAGACCCCGTTTGAGATCGTCTACAACTTGAAACCAAGCGTCAAGCACATGCGAACATTCGGATGTCAGACGTACATACTGACGCCTAGAGAGAATCGACTCAAGTGGGATCCAAAGGCTCGCGCTGGCATATTCGTGGGCTACGAAGAAGTTTCGAAGGCATATCGTGTTTATGACATCGAGGCGGGGCAGGTGGTTATCAGCCGCGATATCAACTTCGACGAGTCCACCTTTGGACTTCAACTGCCGATCACTGATGAAGATGTCGATGACCTGGACTTCGAATTGCTGGATCTTGATGACGAAGAGCTGCGTCAAATGGAGTACAAGCAAACAGGCAAGCGCAAGAACCGACTCAATGATGAAGATACAGCAGCTCCACGACCGCGTGCAGTGCGTCAACGACCAGGACTAGAAGAGTCAAGCGCGCCGGAAAACAACTCGTCACGCCAAGAAGAAGACGAAGAAACGAAGGATTCTGGTGATTCAACACCGCCTGTGTTTTGGCGTGCGAGTGCAAATGCCGTTGAAGCAGCAGTGGACTTATCAGAGCCCTCAACATTTGAAGCAGCAGTAAGCGGCCCTGACCAAGTGCACTGGAGAAAAGCAATTCATGCAGAGCTCGAGTCAATGCGACTTCGCGGTGTGTTTCGTGCAGCCAAGCTGCCCAACGGACAACGCGCCATTGGCACAAAGTGGGTCTTCAAGATCAAGCGCAAGGCGGATGGGTCGATCGAGAAATACAAGGCACGACTTGTGGCCAAGGGTTTTCGCCAAAAGTATGGCATCGACTACACGGAGACGTTCTCGCCCGTGGTCAAGTATGTGACGCTGCGAATGGTCATCGCCATTACCAAGCACTTTGGATGGCCCCTCGACCAGCTCGATGTGGTGACTGCGTTCCTGTATGGAGTGATGAAGGAGAAGGTGTTCTGCGCTGTTCCGGAAGGCGTCAAGATGGAAGGTGATTTTGACTGTCTCGAGCTGATCAAGGCGATCTACGGTCTCAAGCAAGCCTCGCGTGTTTGGAACGAGACCTTCGACGAGTTCATACGCTCGATTGGTTTTCAAGCGTCGGGATTCGATCCATGTCTCTACATCATGACTTCGGAAGGCCATTGTGTTTTTGTGCTGGTCTACGTGGACGATGTCTTGGTGACTGGAAGCTCGCTCGAGATGATTGCGCGCACCAAGAACGACCTCAAGACACGCTTCGAGATGACGGACAGCGGCAAGTGTGCCTTTGTTCTTGGGATCGAGTTATTGGACGGTGAAGATGGCAGCGTGACTATGTGTCAGCGCCGTTATGTCGACGATGTCCTCAAGCGCTTTGGAATGGATGAGTGCAAGGCTGTGGCAAGTCCGGTGGACGTCAGCTCTCGACTGGTCCCGAGCAACTCTGCAAGCAAGGTGGATGTCCCATTCCGTGAAGCAGTGGGTGCTTTGATGCATCTGACGACTGCAACGCGACCGGACATCGCCTATGCTGTAAGCTTTGTGTCACGGTTCATGGAGAAACCCCAAGAAGAACACTGGGTTGCAGTCAAGCGCATCTTCCGCTACCTACAAGGCACCAAGATGCATGGAATCTGCTACAAGCCAAGTGCGAAGATCGAATTTCGTGGCTATTCAGATGCAGACTGGGCCGGTGACCTTGCTGATCGCAAATCGACGTCCGGCTACGTCTTCATGCTATTGGGTGCTCCGGTGAGTTGGGGCAGCAAGAAACAGCCAAGTGTGTCACTGTCTACAAGCGAAGCGGAGTACATCGCGCTCAGCCTGGCGATCCAAGAAGGCAAGTGGATCAATCGCTTGCTGTGCGAGATCATGGCGGCTGCAAACGAAGAAGGACCCGAGCTCGTCATCCGTGAAGACAACCAGTCGTGCATCAAGATGACGAAGAATCCGGTCAACCACGGCCGCGCTAAACACATCGACATCAAGTACCATCACATCCGTGATGAAGTCAAGCGCGGCGAAGTGAAGCTTGAATACTGCGAGACGACGTTGATGTTGGCGGACATCATGACGAAGGGACTTCACGGACCGCGTCACAAGGACTTGACGGCGGCGCTTGACATCCGTGCGTGTTCGGATTGAGGGGGCGTATTGAGGGTTACCGGTACAATCCGAACCTAGCGCGTAGTTCTTACGAGATAGTTTTTACATCGGTAATTACCTCAGAGATGATTAGACGCGTAGGATGATTGGACGCGTGTAAATCAGGTTGATTAGATGCACCATGTGATTGGATGCAGTCTAGGGTAGGCAGAAGTTAAGACCTATAAATCAATCACTTTCGAATCCTCCCTCAAGTGAGCAAGTGTTCTCTGCTTCGTTCTCTCCGGTCTCTCCGCTTCGTTTTCTCTTCGCCTCGCGCTCAAGTTACAACAGTATGTGACTCTCAAGAACTCACAGGAAGTGGTGGCGACAGCGGATCTCGTGGATGGACTCTACTGGCTTCGGACGACTCAACGATCAGCGAATGTGACAACAAGTGGAACCAGTTGTGCCGATCTACATGCGAGAATGGGTCATGCTCCAGTCGATGTACTTCGCAAGATGATCGCGACCAACATGATCAAGGATGTGCGAGTCCCTCTCAAGTCGGGTGGAGCAACTACATGTCGAGGATGTCAACAAGGGAAAATGGTCCAAAAACCATTTCCAAGCAACCGAGACAAGCGCAGCTACGATACGTTTGTGCTGCTTCATCTGGACATCTGCGGGCCCATGGAAAAGGATTCGCTCGGTGGCAGCAAATATTTGCTGCTGATCATCGACGAAGCCAGTGGATGCATGAAGGGATTTTGTCTACGAGTGAAATCCAAGAGTGAAGACTACATCCGGAAATATATCACCATGGTACAGACGCAATTCTGTAAGAAGGTCAAGTTCGTGCGACACGACGGAGCTCGCGAGTTTGCAACCAACTCGCTTCAGCTGTTCTACGAAGACGAAGGCATTGAACAGCAGACAACGGTGCCGTATGCACATCAAACAAACGGAACAGCAGAGCGTGCCATTAGGACTATTGTCACGATCGGCCGCAGCATGCTTCATCATGCCAAACTGGACAAGTGTTTCTGGGACGAAGCAGCGATGACGGCCATCTACGTCAAGAATCGACTGCCGTCACCTAGAGTCGTGCACAAGACCCCGTTTGAGATCGTCTACAACTTGAAACCAAGCGTCAAGCACATGCGAACATTCGGATGTCAGACGTACATACTGACGCCTAAAGAGAATCGACTCAAGTGGGATCCAAAGGCTCGCGCTGGCATATTCGTGGGCTACGAAGAAGTTTCAAAGGCATATCGTGTTTATGACATCGAGGCGGGGCAGGTGGTTATCAGCCGCGATATCAACTTCGACGAGTCCACCTTTGGACTTCAACTGCCGATCACTGATGAAGATGTCGATGACCTGGACTTCGAATTGCTGGATCTTGATGACGAAGAGCTGCGTCAAATGGAGTACAAGCAAACAGGCAAGCGCAAGAACCGACTCAATGATGAAGATACAGCAGCTCCACGACCGCGTGCAGTGCGTCAACGACCAGGACTAGAAGAGTCAAGCGCGCCGGAAAACAACTCGTCACGCCAAGAAGAAGACGAAGAAACGAAGGATTCTGGTGATTCAACACCGCCTGTGTTTTGGCGTGCGAGTGCAAATGCCGTTGAAGCAGCAGTGGACTTATCAGAGCCCTCAACATTTGAAGCAGCAGTAAGCGGCCCTGACCAAGTGCACTGGAGAAAAGCAATTCATGCGGAGCTCGAGTCAATGCGACTTCGTGGAGTGTTTCGTGCAACCAAGTTTGCCCAACGGACAGCGTGCCATTGGTACCAAGTGGATCTTCATGATCAAGCGTAAAGCGGACGGATCCATCGAGAAGTACAAGGCAAGTCTCGTGGTAAAGGGTTTTCGCCAGAAGTATGGCATCGACTACACGGAGACGTTTTCGCCCGTGGTCAAGTATGTGTTGCATTGTAGATCGGAGCGAGGAAAGCGGAGCGGAGAGACCGAAGAGAGTAGAGCAGAAAACACTTGCCCAATAGTTGGAAGATTCGAAAGTGATTGATTATCGGGACTTACTACTTACTACATGATTTATATGTGGTGTACATATAAATCATGTGAAGCGTCTCATCATCCTACGCGTCTAATCAACTATGGTAATTACCGTAAGAACTACGTCGTAAATACTAGGCTGAACAGGCGGTTCGGATTGGACCGGTCACGGTTACCAACACTGGTAGAAAACCGATGACCGTCAACACGCCCCCTCAATCCGAATGCTCACGAATGCCGAGAGCCGTCGTCATCTCCTTGTGGCGTGGTCCATGAAGTCCCTTCGTCATGATGTCCGCTAACATCACCGCAGTTTCACAATACTTGAGCTTCACTTCACCGCGCTTGACCTCATCACGGATGTGATGGTACTTGATATCGATGTGCTTGGCACGGCCGTGATTGACCGGGTTCTTCGTCATCTTGATACATGACTGATTGTCTTCATGAATCATGAGTTCCGGTCCTTCTTCATTGGCAGCCATCACGATCTCACAAAGCAGACGATGAATCCACTTGCCCTCTTGAATCGCCAAGCTGAGTGCGATGTATTCAGCTTCAGTCGTGGACAACGAAACACTTGGCTGCTTCTTGCTGCCCCAACTCACTCGCGCACCGAGTAGCATGAACGTGTACCCCGATGTTGACTTGCGGTCGGTAAGATCACCAGCCCAATCCGCATCCGAATATCCACGGAAGTCGATCCTTGCACTTGGCTTGTAGCAAATTCCATGCGTCTTAGTGCCTTGTAGGTAGCGAAAGATACGCTTAACTGCAACCCAGTGTTCTTCTTGGGGATTTTCCATGAACCGCGACACATAGCCCACAGCAAACGCAATGTCCGGACGCGTTGCAGTGGTCAGGTGCATCAACGCACCAACAGCTTCGCGAAAAGGAGCATCGACCTCGGTAGTTGCATCACTTGAAATAAGTCGAGAGCTCATGTCGACTGGACTTGCGACTGCCTTGCAATCATCCATGCCAAAGCGCTTGAGGATATCATCGACATACCGACGCTGACATAGTGTCACACTGCCATCTTCACCGTCCAAAAGCTCGATCTCAAGAACAAACGCACACTTGCCGCTATCAGTCATCTCGAAGCGTGTCTTCAGGTCTTCCTTGGTGTGTGCAATCAGCTCGAGCGAGCTTCCAGTCACCAAGACGTCGTCCACGTAGACCAGTATAAACACGCAATGGCCGTCCGAAGTCTTGATGTAGAGACATGGGTCGAAGCCTGACACTTGAAATCCAATGGAACACACACTCGTCAAAAGTCTCGTTCCATACTCGCAAAGCTTGCTTCAGGCCGTAAATTGACTTCACCAATTCCAGGCAGTCGAACGTACTGTCAAGTTCGACGCCTTCAGGAATCACGCAGAACACTTGTTCCTTCATGACGCCATACAGGAAAGCTGTCACCACATCAAGCTGGTCGATGGGCCATCCAAAATGCTTGGAAATTGCGATCACCATTCTCAGCGTCACATACTTGACCACAGGCGAAAATGTCTCCGTGTAGTCGATGCCATACTTTTGGCGGAAACCCTTGGCCACAAGTCGTGCCTTGTACTTCTCGATTGACCCATCCGCTTTACGCTTGATCTTGAACACCCATTTTGTGCCAATGGCGCGTTGTCCGTTGTATTGAGGGTTACCGGTACAATCCGAACCTAGCGCGTAGTTCTTACGAGATAGTTTTTACATCGGTAATTACCTCAGAGATGATTAGACGCGTAGGATGATTGGACGCGTGTAAATCAGGTTGATTAGATGCACCATGCGATTGGGTGCAGTCTAGGGTAGGCAGAAGTTAAGACCTATAAATCAATCACTTTCGAATCCTCCCTCAAGTGAGCAAGTGTTCTCTGCTTCGTTCTCTCCGGTCTCTCCGCTTCGTTTTCTCTTCGCCTCGCGCTCAAGAAACAACAGGTTATGAGCCCAAGCGCCATGTCGTCCAACAACACCTCGGCCAGTGTCTCCATCGATAAGTTCGATGGGGACAACTACTCAACCTGGTGTCGCTACATGCGCGGCGTGTTTCTGACGAAGTCAGTCTGGTACGTCGTGAACCGCGAAACGTCTCCAACCTTCACCGACACGCGAGCTTCCGACGAGTACGTCAAGGCGAGCAACATCGCGTTCGGGTTTGATGTTGCTCCACATGGACGCCGACTACCACCATGTGGTCGACAACTGTGAAGAAGCATGGACAGCGTGGTCGCGGTTGAAGATGCTCTATGGTGGGTCGCAGAAGGCGGGACGCATCTACCTCAAGCGCCAGCTGTTCAGCATCAAGATGGCGGAAGGTGCCAACGTCTTGCACCATTGCAACGAAGTCTTGAACATCGGCGCCAAGCTCAGCAGCATCGGTGCCAAGATGGAAGACGAAGACATTGCGATCTGCTTGCTGCTCAGTCTCCCGAAGAGTTTCGAGAACGTGGTTCTGAACTTGGAGATGAGCAATGCAGAGCTGCGCACGCAAGATGTGGTCAAGGTGCTGACTAACGAGCACATCAAGCGACAAGGCGAGAAGATGACAACGGCAACGACAACGGTGAAGACTGAAGATGCGACAAAGGCATTCAGTACCGAGCGCAAGCCCTACCAATGCACATACTGCGGCAAGGTGGGGCACACGGCAGAGCGTTGCTGGACGAAGCAAAAGGATGAAAGTCGAGGAGCCCAACGCGGCGGCAATGGTCGTGGACGCGGGGCAAACAATGTCCAGTGGCGACATTATGATGAAGGCAACAGCTACGATCGAGTGGCGTTTGCAGTTTCGTTCGAATGCGGAGTTTCGACGAACAAGAATGGACCAGGAATGTGGGCCGTTGACAGCGGGGCAACACATCACATCTGCCACGACAAGTTCAAGTTTGCAAGCTTGGTCGAAGGCAATGATGACGAGATCCTGGTGGCTGATGGCAACAAGGCGGCCATCAAAGGTGTGGGGGGACCATCGTGGAAAAGGTGATTCTGCCAAACGGGGAAGAGCGCGAGATCGAGATCAAGAACGCGCTCTATGTGCCCAGCATGAGCAAAAATCTGCTCTCGGTGCCGCAGATTAACAAGCACGGCAACTTCCAAGTGGTGTTTGACGGGGATACGATGTACGTCGCTCGCAAGGATTCCAATCAAGTGGTGGCAGCTGCGGATCTTGTAGACGGACTCTACTGGCTTCGCACGACGCAGCGATCGGCCAATGCGACATCAATCAGCAACGCTGTTGATCTACATGCGCGAATGGGCCATGCTCCAGTCGACGTACTTCGCAGGATGGTGACAAGCCACATGATCAAGGACGCTCACATCCCTTCCAAGCCGAATGGATCAAGTGTGTGTCGAGGATGCCAAGAAGGGAAGATGGTCCAAAAACCATTCCCGAGCAACCGTGACAAGCGCACCTACAACACCTTCGAGATGCTCCACTTCGACATCTGCGGACCCATGGAAGAAAAATCTCTGGGTGGCAGCAAGTATCTGCTGCTGATCGTGGATGAAGCCAGCGGATGCATGAAGGGTTTTTGTCTGCATTCCAAGTCAGAGAGCGAAGAGTGCATCAAGAAGTACATCACGATGATACAGACGCAGTTCAACAAGAAAGTCAAATTTGTGCGACACGATGGAGCCCGCGAGTTTGCGACGAACTCGCTTCAAGATTTCTACGAAGTCGAAGGCATCGAGCAACAAACCACGGTGCCATACGCACATCAAGCCAATGGAACTGCTGAACGCGCGATTCGAACTATCGTCACCATCGGTCGTAGCATGCTCCATCATGCCAAGTTGGACAAGTGCTTCTGGGCTGAAGCGGCAATGACGGCCGTCTATGTGAAGAACCGTTTGCCGTCACCCAAGATTCCACACAAGACACCGTTCGAGATTGTCTACAATTCTAAGCCAAGTGTCAAGCACATGCGCGTTTTTGGGTGCCAAGCATACATCTTGACCCCGAAGGAGAAACGACTCAAGTGGGATCCCAAGGCCCGGGCTGGATTGTTTTTGGGCTACGAAGAAGTGTCCAAGGCGTATCGAGTTTATGACATCGAAGCGGGGCAGGTGATGATAAGTCGCGATGTCAACTTCGATGAGTCGGCCTTTGGAATGTCGATGCTGATTTCCGATGACGATGTTGATGGCCTGGACTTCGAATCGATCGATCTTGATGATGAAGAACCGCGTCCGAGACACTTCAAACAAACAGGAAAGCGCAAGGCCCAACCCAGTCACGACAATGACGACGCAAGCATGCCCCGAGCAGTGCGCCAACGACCCGGATTGGAAGAGTCAAGTGCGCCGGATGACATCTCTTCACGTCGACCCAACGAAGATGAAGAAAGGAAGTCGGAGGAACAACATGACACACCGACTTCCTCCGCGTTTTGGCATGCGAGTGCAAACGCCGTCGAAGCAGCGGTCGATTTTTCGGAGCCGTCGACATTTGAAGAAGCAATGTCTGGCCCGGACCAAGTACACTGGCGCAAGGCAATTGATGCGGAGCTCGATTCGATGAAGCTTCGCGGTGTCTTTCGTGCGGCCAAGTTACCCAACGGACAAAGCGCCATTGGCACAAAGTGGGTCTTCAAGATCAAGCGCAAGGCGGATGGGTCGATCGAGAAATACAAGGCACGACTTGTGGCCAAGGGTTTTCGCCAAAAGTATGGCATCGACTACACGGAGACGTTCTCGCCCGTGGTCAAGTATGTGACGCTGCGAATGGTCATCGCCATTACCAGGCACTTTGGATGGCCCCTCGACCAGCTCGATGTGGTGACTGCGTTCCTGTATGGAGTGATGAAGGAGAAGGTGTTCTGCGCTGTTCCGGAAGGCGTCAAGATGGAAGGTGATTTTGACTGTCTCGAGCTGATCAAGGCGATCTACGGTCTCAAGCAAGCCTCGCGTGTTTGGAACGAGACCTTCGACGAGTTCATACGCTCGATTGGTTTTCAAGCGTCGGGATTCGATCCATGTCTCTACATCATGACTTCGGAAGGCCATTGTGTTTTTGTGCTGGTCTACGTGGACGATGTCTTGGTGACTGGAAGCTCGCTCGAGATGATTGCGCGCACCAAGAACGACCTCAAGACACGCTTCGAGATGACGGACAGCGGCAAGTGTGCCTTTGTTCTTGGGATCGAGTTATTGGACGGTGAAGATGGCAGCGTGACTATGTGTCAGCGCCGTTATGTCGACGATGTCCTCAAGCGCTTTGGAATGGATGAGTGCAAGGCTGTGGCAAGTCCGGTGGACGTCAGCTCTCGACTGGTTCCGAGCAACTCTGCAAGCAAGGTGGATGTCCCATTCCGTGAAGCAGTGGGTGCTTTGATGCATCTGACGACTGCAACGCGACCGGACATCGCCTATGCTGTAAGCTTTGTGTCACGGTTCATGGAGAAACCCCAAGAAGAACACTGGGTTGCAGTCAAGCACATCTTCCGCTACCTACAAGGCACCAAGATGCATGGAATCTGCTACAAGCCAAGTGCGAAGATCGACTTTCGTGGCTATTCAGATGCAGACTGGGCCGGTGACCTTGCTGATCGCAAATCGACGTCCGGCTACGTCTTCATGCTATTGGGTGCTCCGGTGAGTTGGGGCAGCAAGAAACAGCCAAGTGTGTCACTGTCTACAAGCGAAGCGGAGTACATCGCGCTCAGCCTGGCGATCCAAGAAGGCAAGTGGATCAATCGCTTGCTGTGCGAGATCATGGCGGCTGCAAACGAAGAAGGACCCGAGCTCGTCATCCGTGAAGACAACCAGTCGTGCATCAAGATGACGAAGAATCCGGTCAACCACGGCCGCGCTAAACACATCGACATCAAGTACCATCACATCCGTGATGAAGTCAAGCGCGGCGAAGTGAAGCTTGAATACTGCGAGACGACGTTGATGTTGGCGGACATCATGACGAAGGGACTTCACGGACCGCGTCACAAGGACTTGACGGCGGCGCTTGGCATCCGTGCGTGTTCGGATTGAGGGGGCGTATTGAGGGTTACCGGTACAATCCGAACCTAGCGCGTAGTTCTTACGAGATAGTTTTTACATCGGTAATTACCTCAGAGATGATTAGACGCGTAGGATGATTGGACGCGTGTAAATCAGGTTGATTAGATGCACCATGTGATTGGATGCAGTCTAGGGTAGGCAGAAGTTAAGACCTATAAATCAATCACTTTCGAATCCTCCCTCAAGTGAGCAAGTGTTCTCTGCTTCGTTCTCTCCGGTCTCTCCGCTTCGTTTTCTCTTCGCCTCGCGCTCAAGAAACAACACTTTGGGCAGCTTGGCTGCACGAAACACACTGCGAAGTCGCATTGACTCGAGCTCTGCATGAATTGCTTTTCTCCAGTGCACTTGGTCAGGGCCGCTTACTGCTGCTTCAAATGTTGAGGGCTCTGATAAGTCCACTGCTGCTTCAACGGCATTTGCACTCGCACGCCAAAACACAGGCGGTGTTGAATCACCAGAATCCTTCGTTTCTTCGTCTTCTTCTTGGCGTGACGAGTTGTTTTCCGGCGCGCTTGACTCTTCTAGTCCTGGTCGTTGACGCACTGCACGCGGTCGTGGAGCTGCTGTATCTTCATCATTGAGTCGGTTCTTGCGCTTGCCTGTTTGCTTGTACTCCATTTGACGCAGCTCTTCGTCATCAAGATCCAGCAATTCGAAGTCCAGGTCATCGACATCTTCATCAGTGATCGGCAGTTGAAGTCCAAAGGTGGACTCGTCGAAGTTGACATCGCGGCTGATAACCACCTGCCCCGCCTCGATGTCATAAACACGATATGCCTTCGAAACTTCTTCGTAGCCCACGAATATGCCAGCGCGAGCCTTTGGATCCCACTTGAGTCGATTCTCTTTAGGCGTCAGTATGTACGTCTGACATCCGAATGTTCGCATGTGCTTGACGCTTGGTTTCAAGTTGTAGACGATCTCAAACGGGGTCTTGTGCACGACTTTAGGTGACGGCAGTCGATTCTTGACGTAGATGGCCGTCATCGCTGCTTCGGCCCAGAAACACTTGTCCAGTTTGGCATGATGAAGCATGCTGCGGCCGATCGTGACAATAGTCCTAATGGCACGCTCTGCTGTTCCGTTTGTTTGATGTGCATACGGCACCGTTGTCTGCTGTTCAATGCCTTCGTCTTCGTAGAACAGCTGAAGCGAGTTGGTTGCAAACTCGCGAGCTCCGTCGTGTCGCACGAACTTGACCTTCTTACAGAATTGCGTCTGTACCATGGTGATATATTTCCGGATGTAGTCTTCACTCTCGGATTTCACTCGTAGACAAAATCCCTTCATGCATCCACTGGCTTCGTCGATGATCAGCAGCAAATATTTGCTGCCACCGAGCGAATCCTTTTCCATGGGCCCGCAGATGTCCAGATGAAGCAGCTCAAACGTATCGTAGCTGCGCTTGTCTCGGTTGCTTGGAAATGGTTTTTGGACCATTTTCCCTTGTTGACATCCTCGACATGTAGTTGCTCCACCCGACTTGAGAGGGACTCGCACATCCTTGATCATGTTGGTCGCGATCATCTTGCGAAGTACATCGACTGGAGCATGACCCATTCTCGCATGTAGATCGGCACAACTGGTTCCACTTGTTGTCACATTCGCTGATCGTTGAGTCGTCCGAAGCCAGTAGAGTCCATCCACGAGATCCGCAGTCGCCACCACTTGCTGTGAGTTCTTGAGAGTCACATACATCTTGGACCCGTCAAACACGACTTGAAACTTGCCATGGCTGTTAATCTGTGGTACCGAGAGCAGGTTCTTGCTCATACTTGGAACATATAGCGCGTTCTTGATTTCGATCTCACGCTCTTCACCGTTGGGCAGAACCACCTTTTCCATTATGGTTCCCACACCCTTGATGGCCACCTTGTTGCCATCAGCCACCAAGCGTTCGCCCTCATTGCTGTTGACGGTCATCGGTTTTCTACCAGTGTTGGTAACCGTGACTGGTCCAATCCGAACCGCCTGTTCAGCCTAGTATTTACGACGTAGTTCTTACGGTAATTACCATAGTTGATTAGACGCGTAGGATGATGAGACGCTTCACATGATTTATATGTACACCACATATAAATCATGTAGTAAGTAGTAAGTCCCGATAATCAATCACTTTCGAATCTTCCAACTATTGGGCAAGTGTTTTCTGCTCTACTCTCTTCGGTCTCTCCGCTCCGTCCCCTTTCCTCGCTCCGATCTACAATGCAACAGGTTATGAGCCCAAGCGCCATGTCGTCCACCAGCAACGCCTCCATTGACAAGTTCAACGGAGACAATTACGCAACGTGGAGCCGGTACATGCGCGGTGTGTTTTTGACGAAGTCCGTCTGGCACGTCGTCAACCGTGAAGTGACTCCGACTTTCACCGACCCGCGAGCGTCCGATGACTACGTCAAGGCAAGCAACGTCGCGTTTGGTATGATGCTGCTGCACATGAACGCGGACTACCATCATGTGCTGGACAACTGCGAGGAAGCCTGGGTTGCGTGGACCAGTCTGAAGACGCTGTACGGTGGGTCGCAGAAGGCAGGACGCATCTACCTCAAGCGACAACTTTTCAGCATCAAGATGGCTGAAGGCGCGAACGTCATGCATCACTGCAACGAGGTCCTCAACATCTCCGCCAAGCTTAGCGGCATCGGTGCGAAGATGGAAGACGAAGACGTTGCAATTTGTCTGCTACTCAGTCTTCCGAAGAGCTACGAAAATGTGGTACTCAACATGGAAATGAGCAGCACCGAGCTTCGCACTCAAGATGTGGTGAGAGTCCTGACGAATGAGCATGCCAAGCGTCAAGGAGAAAAAGGGACAACGACAGCGACTACGGTGAAGGCTGAAGATGCAAGCAAGGCATTCAGCGCCGAGCGTGAGCCCTACCAATGCACGTATTGTGGCAAGGTGGGACACACGGTGGATCGTTGCTGGACAAAACAGAAGAACGAAGGTCGGGGAGCCCGACGCGGCGGCAATGGTCGTGGACGCGGGGCTAACAATGTCCAGTGGGGACATCATGATGGAGGCAATGGCTACAATCGAGTGGCGTTTGCAGTCTCGTTCGAATGTGGAGTTTCGACGAGCAAGGACGTGTCTGGAATGTGGGCCGTCGACAGTGGTGCAACGCACCACATTTGCCACGACAAGACCAAGTTCGCAAGTTTGGCAGAGCGCAATGAGGGCGAACTCTTGGTGGCTGATGGCAACAAGGTGGCCATCAAGGGTGTGGGAACCATAATGGAAAAGGTGGTTCTGCCCAACGGTGAAGAGCGTGAGATCGAAATCAAGAACGCGCTATATGTTCCAAGTATGAGCAAGAACCTGCTCTCGGTACCACAGATTAACAGCCATGGCAAGTTTCAAGTCGTGTTTGACGGGTCCAAGATGTATGTGACTCTCAAGAACTCACAGCAAGTGGTGGCGACAGCGGATCTCGTAGATGGACTCTACTGGCTTCGGACGACTCAACGATCAGTGAATGTGACAACAAGTGGAACCAGTTGTGCCGATCTACATGCGAGAATGGGTCATGCTCCAGTCGATGTACTTCGCAAGATGATCGCGACCAACATGATCAAGGATGTGCGAGTCCCTCTCAAGTCGGGTGGAGCAACTACATGTCGAGGATGTCAACAAGGGAAAATGGTCCAAAAACCATTTCCAAGCAACCGAGACAAGCGCAGCTACGATACGTTTGAGCTGCTTCATCTGGACATCTGCGGGCCCATGGAAAAGGATTCGCTCGGTGGCAGCAAATATTTGCTGCTGATCATCGACGAAGCCAGTGGATGCATGAAGGGCTTTTGTCTACATGTGAAGTCCGAGAGTGAAGACTACATCCGGAAATATATCACCATGGTACAGACGCAATTCTGTAAGAAGGTCAAGTTCGTGCGACACGACGGAGCTCGCGAGTTTGCAACCAACTCGCTTCAACTGTTCTACGAAGACGAAGGCATTGAACAGCAGACAACGGTGCCGTATGCACATCAAACAAACGGAACAGCAGAGCGTGCCATTAGGACTATTGTCACGATCGGCCGCAGCATGCTTCATCATGCCAAACTGGACAAGTGTTTCTGGGCCGAAGCAGCGATGACGGCCATCTACGTCAAGAATCGACTGCCGTCACCTAAAGTCGTGCACAAGACCCCCGTTTGAGATCGTCTACAACTTGAAACCAAGCGTCAAGCACATGCGAACATTCGGATGTCAGACGTACATACTGACGCCTAAAGAGAATCGACTCAAGTGGGATCCAAAGGCTCGCGCTGGCATATTCGTGGGCTACGAAGAAGTTTCGAAGGCATATCGTGTTTATGACATCGAGGCGGGGCAGGTGGTTATCAGCCGCGATATCAACTTCGACGAGTCCACCTTTGGACTTCAACTGCCGATCACTGATGAAGATGTCGATGACCTGGACTTCGAATTGCTGGATCTTGATGACGAAGAGCTGCGTCAAATGGAGTACAAGCAAACAGGCAAGCGCAAGAACCGACTCAATGATGAAGATACAGCAGCTCCACGACCGCGTGCAGTGCGTCAACGACCAGGACTAGAAGAGTCAAGCGCGCCGGAAAACAACTCGTCACGCCAAGAAGAAGACGAAGAAACGAAGGATTCTGGTGATTCAACACCGCCTGTGTTTTGGCGTGCGAGTGCAAATGCCGTTGAAGCAGCAGTGGACTTATCAGAGCCCTCAACATTTGAAGCAGCAGTAAGCGACCCTGACCAAGTTCACTGGAGAAAAGCAATTCATGCAGAGCTCGAGTCAATGCGACTTCGCGGTGTGTTTCGTGCAGCCAAGCTGCCCAACGGACAACGCGCCATTGGCACAAAATGGGTCTTCAAGATCAAGCGTAAAGCGGATGGATCTATCGAGAAGTACAAGGCACGACTTGTGGCCAAGGGTTTCCGCCAAAAGTATGGCATCGACTACACGGAGACGTTTTCGCCTGTGGTCAAGTATGTGTTGCATTGTAGGTCGGAGCGAGGAAAGCGGAGCGTAGAGACCGAAGAGAGTAGAGCAGAAAACACTTGCCCAATAGTTGGAAGATTCGAAAGTGATTGATTATCGGGACTTACTACTTACTACATGATTTATATGTGGTGTACATATAAATCATGTGAAGCGTCTCATCATCCTACGCGTCTAATCAACTATGGTAATTACCGTAAGAACTACGTCGTAAATACTAGGCTGAACAGGCGGTTCGGATTGGACCGGTCACGGTTACCAACACTGGTAGAAAACCGATGACCGTCAACACGCCCCCTCAATCCGAATGCTCACGAATCCCGAGAGCCGTCGTCATCTCCTTGTGGCGTGGTCCATGAAGTCCCTTCGTCATGATGTCCGCTAACATCACCGCAGTTTCACAATACTTGAGCTTCACTTCACCGCGCTTGACCTCATCACGGATGTGATGGTACTTGATATCAATGTGCTTGGCACGGCCGTGATTGACCGGGTTCTTCGTCATCTTGATACATGACTGATTGTCTTCATGAGTCATGAGTTCCGGTCCTTCTTCATTGGCAGCCATCACGATCTCACAA